GCTATAATTTGGGTGGTGGACAGGGGTGCAAATTAGGTCTGACAAGCGGTGAGGCGCAATGCCAGGTTATAGCTTACATAGTGTAATTCAGACATAAAAATGGATAACCTAAATATGCCTACAATTATACTTATCATATTAATATCTCATGTTTTATATGTCAATATTAAAATACAAAAACAAATAATATTAACAGGAATAATAATGCAGTACATATTTAGTATAATGTTCCAATTTGAGCAGCTTTCAGCTCAGTTTAAAAGACTGTTAGCTCTACTGCACTCCTGTAAGAGCACTTTATTATCCTAAGTTAATTTTTAATTAGATTTTTAATTATTTAATTTTATTCCTTTTTGAATATATTGTTTATAATTGTGTTTTAATGGTGTTTTTAATTTCTATTCTCCCACATCTTTTTTACATTTTTATTTGAATTATCTTCGTATTTTCTCTTTTGTAAAGCACTTTGAATGACCTCAGTATATGAAAGGTGCTGTATAAATAAACTAGCCTTACCTTGCCTAGATTTGGCTTTGTAGCCATATAATATATATTATTATAAAACCCCCTAATAATGATAAATATGACGATAATTAAGAAGGAAGAAAGGAAAGACTATTCATAATTGTTATGGCATAACTCAATGAACAATCATGGTACAGTAAAGAAGTGCTGAAAATTATTCATTAAAATGTAATTGACAGCTAAATAATAATTGATATCTGACAGCTTAATCACCATCCTATGAGCCCTAAATTTGTTCTCTTGCATAATTTCTTAAAAAGGTGGAGGGGATACGTCCCACCTGCCCCCCCACTGAATTTGCACCAGTAGTGGTAGATCAATCTCAGCACAGCGGTGTCTCTGACATGCTAGAGTGTGTGGTGCTGATATGAGTGCATCAGGCAGAGTTTTTACACACATCAGTGTCACTGCTAAACGTAAAGTGGTCCATTACCCAAAAATATCCAGCCAGGAGCGGCTCTGTAGTCAGAAGCCATTGAAGTGCTAGAAGATAACGCAAACTGTGCGTGACAACAGTCTATAGAAAGTAGGTGTTTCCAATAAAGTGAGTGCATATACAACATCTTTGCACACTGACAAGCAGAAGAGATACTGCAAGTAAGCATGAGCCATAAGTGCAAAGCCAGCAGCCTTTCTGACATGACCTCATTTAGAGCTTTACAAAGAGAAGACCATCATTCTCTGTGTCCCTGTGGCACGCCTTTCACCCAGTGACCCCCCATTCTGCTGAATCAGACCTCTCTCTCACTCTTTCTCTTCCTCATTCCTCTCTTTCACCTTCTCATCCTGAATCTCTCCATTCCCTGTCCTCCCTCACCATCTCTGCCTCTGTATCCTGCACTCCCCTCTGTTGACCTATTGACTTTTGTGCCTTCTGCCAGATAGACTGTGTGTCTTCATTCTCGTTTGACCTCTCATGTCCAGTTCAATCAATAAGGGCCTTCCACAGTGACACTGAAAAGGTTAAATAAGAGCTTTTGTATCAGAATTTATTGCAAAAGACTAATATTATGTAAGCATAGTTTGGTCAAGTCATTTTTTAAGTGTCTCGAGCCCTTTATTATGCTATTCAGAGCCCATGTTAAGGCATTAAAATCAACCTTATCAAAATTGACCTTTTTTACCCTGTTAGCTCATGTCCCTGGTCATATTAAGTACCATATCGTCTCATTTTAAACACAAAATTATTCTTGTTCCATCAGAATGTATGGAAACTTATTCTTGCTAGAAAGTTTGTTTTGTGTTTTTTTTTCCCCTCCTTCTCTATTTCTGGCAGCGGTGCATAAGCAATTTGATTTGGTACCTCAAAATAATATTTCCCTCACTTATTTCCTCAAATTATTTACTTAATATTTAAAATATTGACTTAGTTTCTTGAAATATTGCTTTTATATCTCAAAATGATGACTCATTTCTTGAAATGTTAACTTAATATTTCAAAAAATAACATGTTCTCAATATATTGATATTTTATCTCAAACTAATGCCTTTTTTTGAAAATTTGACTTAGTTTCTCAGAATCACTTTTTTTTTAAAAGTAAGCAATTATTTTGGGATGATAATTCTCATTATGAGCTACTAAATCATTTCAAAATTACAAGAGATGAAGTCAAAAGTTTGAGAAAATAAGTCATTTAAACTAGAATTGCCATAACACTCATTCCTGGATTAGAACGATAGGTTAAATGTAAACTGATTATTTTTAAACTAGGTTTAAAGTTTGGTGCAACTGAATTAATTAGTAAACCTTGATTAAATCTGAGTTTAAATGTAATCTTTTTGTTGCAATCCACCCATAAGTGATTATTTTGACATACTAAGTCATTACTTCAACAGAGTATGTCAATATAAATATAATACAAAAAATAAGTAATTACTGCAACATAGTAAGTCAATATTTTGACAAAATAAGTCATTATAAGTCACATATATAGAAATATATGTATAATACTAAATATATAAGTCACAATGCTGAGAAAACATGCCATTATTTTAACTTTGGCAAAAATGGGCTTCCATAAAATATAATAACTAAAATGCAATGCATCTTCTCATTTTTGGGTACATCACTCAGCACCAGGAGGAGGGAAAAAACAATATGAACTAATAATATCATGTGCCACCTCCCCCTCTAACCACCCTCACCTATCATTGATATAAAGCGCTGAGCTAGCTTAGACACCCTACATAATAGCATGTTTCACATGGAAATATGTCACGGTATGGAAGGAAAATTTGTTATGATTCTCAAATGATGAGTAATGTTTTCACCTTTACTTCAATGTGTGAAGGCTTAAAAAAGAGAAGTAGCAACATAATCGTAGTGAAGTGCTTACTAGTAAGATAAGATTTATTAGATTTTAGGAAAAGTATCACAGTTAATTAGTTATAAGTAAAGGGTAACATGATTTGAATATTTGCAGTGTTGGGGTTTAGTTTGTTTGGATATTTGCATTTGTGCTTCTATGTTTATGTTATTTCCCTGCAGATTTTAATTTTGCCTATTTATGTAAATTTGTTTTGCTGTAGTCTGTAGGCTTTCAGGCTAAACCTGTTTACTGTCAGTAAGTTAATTAGCATTAAATGCCAGAGCCAATATGTTTTTATTGCTTTTCTGACAACAGTGCTGTGGTGAAAGCGGTTTGAGGTACTTGTAGCTGTGGTTGCCACAAAACTGCAAGAGCTTTTCCTTTTTTCTCTTTTGACTGTGGTCCTTAGCAGCCTGTGTTCTTTTGACACATCTCTGGTTTTGATCTGCTTGTGCTATATTGTTAGAATTTTGACTTTGCACACTCATACAGTAGCTCTGCAGTGCTGAGAGCTGCTTTCAACAGCACAATGCAGGAAAATGTGCCTACACACATACGCAGACATACACAAAAATATATTCAACATCCGTTCTCCAATTACACAAACAAGGTCAGTACAGCTCTGGCTCTGACACCTTGCCTCCCCTATCTCACTCCTAGCCTGTAACTGCAGGTGCCCTACTACACTCCGCCCTTCATGAAAAGAGAACTACATATGCTCTACCACTGGGACCATCACTGGCAGTCAGCATGAAGTAATCATCCTGACAGCACTGTATTTATATGTGTGCATGCATGCACACATTCATTTATGTATGTGCCTGCAAGTGTTCACTGCAGTTAAAGGCAACCTGAAATCAAATAGATCTTTTTTTATCTTGTTAGTTCATGCCTTTGGTCATATTAAGCTACGATTCAATGTTTCAACTAATTTAAAAGAAAAACTACTATTTTTTGATCTTATCATTTAAAATAAGTAAAATGACTTAAAATGTTTTTAAGTCAAGATTAAATGACTTTTGCCTGCCTCATATATGTCTCCTGAGTTTTGATTACATCACCATGCACCAGTGGGTGGGAACAATAATATTAACCAATAGTATCATGTTTCGCCTTCACTTCCATCCACCCCTACCAGCCTATCTTTGAGCAAAAACACTGAGCTAGTCCAGAGACTCTCCATAATACTGTGATCACTCAGACAAATGTCAGCATATGGAAGAAAAATGCATTTTCCAATTCTTGTTGACTTTAACAACCACAATTTTATTACAAGAAAAACTGTTTTTCCATCTTATGAAAAATGCTTGCCCTGAATGATCTGAGAAGCACACTGCCATGTTACTACACAAGAGTACATTGCTAAGTCAAATTAAACCATAGCTCAAGCCAAAAATAATGAATAATGACTTGTGGCAACTTACATTAAAGCTAAAACACTAATCTAGCCTCTAACAACATGGGAGTATTTCTAGTGCCTTACAGGATGAATTCTGTCACAACCAATTCAAAACACAGTTGAAAAATTCAGACTGTTAAATCTTCATTCAGTCTGAAAGGAAGGTGTGAAACATGATTACAGCAGCACATTATCATTTGAATAGACAGATAAGACAGGCCCTGGGCAGTCCCTGGGAGGGTGGCATTTGGTCGCAGACTAATTATCTCTGACCCAGGAGCAGTTCACACCACTCTGGCACGAAATGGTTTTAGCTCAGTCTGTTTGGTTTCTGAGGTTTTTAGTCATAAGGCCTGCTCACGACATCTGATGCCGCTGTTATGCATTCCTTTTTGTTACGGTCAGTGAGCAAGCTGAGTGTATTTAAGCCTGTTTACAGTGTAACATGGTTACACAACTTTTAAATATTAATTTCACCTCAGTTTAAAGTACAATAGGCTATATTACACCCAGGGATGGAACTGTCCTGGTGGCCTCTGCCACATTTCTATGGCTATATTGTAGACGGGATCTGATGGTTAGGTTGTGGAATGTGTGGTATGCGTGTAGGAAGCAACCAAAAGCGCGTTGTAGGGGGGGGCGTTTAACCTTCGATTTACAAACAGGGTTTAGTCTGTTCGTTTACCATTGCTTTACCTGTTAACAAAAATATGGAGTATTTATACCAAAGTGTTTACCGATAACTCATGTAAGTAGGCAAAAAATAAGGTGGTATGGTTATGAGACGTCCCGAGCTCCCCCACAGATGGGACGAAGCACGGGATGTTCCACAGTAGGTGGGTCTTTGCTGCGGGCGACTGAGCTAAGATCAATGAAAGCGGGCGGTTTTACCGAAACTGGTTGGACGAGCCGAGGTGGGAATAAAGCCGTGGACACGGTCATTTTATCCGAAGAGCACTAGCAGTGGAAACGTCGTTTCTTTTTGAATACTCAGTGAACTCGTGGGTGACTGAAAGTCGACGCCAGAAGAGTGCAATGTGGAAAATTTACACTTCTACTGTAGCCTAGTACACTGTCGTATTTTGTCACGGAGATATTCGTTGGTTGAGCGTTGAGTCGAGGACAAGGGAATTAAGGATGATCTTTGCGAACACCGCCAACCCCGTAAGGCCCCCTTACCGAAAACAGGTTAGTAACGTTAACGTTAGCTAAAGGGTAGAGCATACAGCCCCCACTGAGGTGCGATGCTATTGTCCAGGAGGCTACTGGGTTACATGACAGACCGGTCACGTTAAATGTACTCAGGCTCTTTCAGGCTGAGGCAATGATTGAGTTACGTTTATTTTTAGTTATCAGCGCTTAGAAACACATCGACTAAAAACCGTTTAATCGTTTAAGACGCAGTTTTTAGTTTTTATTTCGTTTCGTCGTGCCCTCAACTAACGTTAGGCCTAGAGACTGTTTTGGGGTTCTAATATGAATATTCATCATTTTCGGCTCATTTTGTAACGTGCTTTGCTTTTCATTCAGTTATTCGGCAAACATGTCTCTCATAGAGTCAAACTGCAGTTAAATGCAATTCGAATGAAACCCCTTGTTTTGTAAAGTAGTTGAAATTTGGCTTTTTATTTTGTTAGGGCTGGTCGTTTGTGTGTGACTTTACAATCCTATAATACGCGTAATGTATCTGCATAATGTATCTGCAGTTGTAATTGAGGGGCCTTTTTTAACGAGATTAATGCCTCCTAGCCCTGTCGAGCCAATTTGTAATGATATTTCTCTTAAGTGCCTCATTAACATGACTGGTGGCCATTTCAGGATTTGATTTGGCAACAGTTTTGTCACAGTCCCTTTAATGAGAAGTGAAAGGCAAGGATGTGAGCTGAGTTTCCCATGGCAACTTCTGTCAGGAGAGCCTTGGGTGTGTGCAGTAAACCTCTGGGTCATGAATATTCATCAGCCTCTACAGTATCTTACAGCAGTTGGTAGGGAAGGGAATTACTGGGTGTGGCTTGATAAAGAGAAGGTCAAAAGAGGGCAGCAAGTCAAGACTGATTTTTGTTCGTGATTCTGTCCAAGATCTGCTTATGTTGGCAAGGAACTGGAGATTAAGGTATTTCAGTCTGATTGTGAGTGTTAACTTTGCTATTGTGTAGTCATACAGCTGTGAAGCTGTACGTGTAATAAGATGCGTATTTATACACCTGCACATCCACATTTGCATCTGTTCGCACATTTTGTAGCTCACGTGGTGTAACAGAAGTAGCAGAGGTTAACAGGACCCCAGGATTTCACAGTTTATAGGAACCATATGTCGCAGGATGACTGCAGCACATAGCACGGGACCCAGGGGACACGCCAACGCTTGAAAGATGGCCCGGAAATTGAATCTGATCTCCCCCTCTCTTGCCTTGCGCCTGCGCCCAATCTTACCATCTTTCTCTCTCCCTCTTTCTCTTCTTGCATCCTTTCACTTCCATCATTCATAGCTTGCCAATGTATTCGTTATGCTTTTTAACACATGCAGGGAAACAGGCCCTTGTACACTTTATGCAGAAACTGTAGGTAGAAAGAGAAACCGAGAGTGACAGAACTGCTCTGAAACAGGTTTGCCATTAAAGCAGTCCTCTTTCCTGCTCTGTTGTTAAAGTAATTGCAGTCCCCGTGGTTATCTTTCAGAATTAAATCAGTGGCTTCAGCTCAGTACCTTTCAGTGTGCTCCACAGCAGCAGTGGCCTTTGAAGATCCATGTGTTCTCCAGGTCCTTTCTCCTGGTCCTTTCATGCTGAGCTGAAACACATGGCTCTGCTAGCCCGCCTCGGTTGATTAATTGACAGGCGCTAATGAGCTTAGGGCACCACATCCAGATTCACCTGATTGCGCAAGTGCGTGCGAGAGTGAGTGCACAAATCGTTCAAGCAAAAATGGGTCAGTATGTCAGGGAGCAGGAGGACACTCACCCCTGCAGAACTGTTGAGGGGTGGTGTTTTATAGCACTGTAGTACATACACGCATACATGCACAGACCAAACGTACAGCCCAGCATGCACAGCTGGAGTTCACTCTAATTGCTTTCTAGGAACAGCTGTTATTCTTAGCATAGAGCAAGTGGTGTAGGGTCTTACACAGCTTTATATCTCATGCCATTGGGCTTGTCTATGTTTTCTGTCCTTTTATTATGTTCTTATTATTTAACCGTCTGACTGGATGTTTTATAGGCAGCCATTTTGTGCAAGTGCTGAGAGGGGCGAGTGGAATGGGAGCTGTTTTAATGAATGAGTCAGAAACAGGAAGTGAGTCAATGATGTGGGCCGTGGTGGCTGCAGTCTGCGGTGGGCGGGAGGCCTGCTCTTCCTGTATCCCGGCACACTGCAGCGCCATGTGACCTTTCCAGAGGAACATTCCTTTCCCTCTTTTCCAGCCAATGCCTTCGTTCACACCGACTCTCAATTCTGCATTAGTCATTCCGGCTAGACTCCGGTGTAAATGAGTTTAGTGGTCAGGAGGAGATGTTTTTGCAGTTTGACGGATGCCGAGGCATGACTAGGCTCTGCCATGAAGTCCAACTGAAATAGTCTCATTGTAGTCCAAATATTTGGCCCAGCGGTTTGGTTAAGAATAGACAGGCACATCCTGATGAAAAAGTGATTCATTTCCTTTCATTTGGCTATGTAGACAGTATGAAAACAAAATTACGCTGCGTTTGGGCCCAAAACTCTGTCGTACCTTTTACTTACCTGGAATGACCCGATGTTGTCTCACGGCTTTGCAATGGAGTGTTCAGCTTCTTTTGGTAGATGTGTGGAAGCTTGAAACCTTCTGAATGGGAGTTGTGGGTCGACGCTGACGTCTATATTTTTCATGTGCATATTCATGTGCCGATACCAGTGCATATACATTTTATAAAATATATAAATTGGGACAAAATTTTTCTGGATTAGCGTTACAAAAAATGTACTTGTATGATTAAGGTTACAAAGTCAGCAAAATAAAAAAAAAGAGCAGGTGTTTTGGCACAGTAACCCAGTGTCACCTACACATTCTGCTCTTTCAGAGTACCATAAGTAAATCATCAAAAATCAGGTTGAAATCATAGTCAATTCTAAACAACTGTCTGATGCTGATTTTTTTTTTTTTTAAAGCAAATATTTGCAGATGCCAGTATGATTCCATTGTACATCCCAACTGGGAACGCACCAGCAAATCTGCTGGCACTTTTTCATTTCGACTGAAATAGAAAAAACAATATACAACAAAGTGTTAAAATCTAACACTTAACAAATCACTTGAATGAGAATGAAAATGAGAAACAGTCATTAAAAACACTGTTTTTCCCTTTGTGCTCCTGTGCTGTTCAGCCCAGATACATTCAAACAGTTTGTACGGCAGCAGATAAACAGTGGGGGGAAAGCCTGCAGTGTGGAGCTATTCTGCGGTGTCTATGAGGGACATTAGACAAGCAGTTTATAATCTCTGTTCATGCCGAGTATCAAGAGAGGGTGTGACGCTCAAGAACGTCTCCACTACAGGTTTGATAGCACTTGACATGAGGCAGAAAGAAAAGTCCTTGCTAGCATGCAGACACTATCTGTAGCTACAGTTTTTAAATGATGAAAAGTTGACAAACAGCAGTACCAAAGTGCAAAGTATTAATTATTGCCCTGGATGACCATATGTTCTCTGTTGTCGAGGACATTGGATTTTATAGGCATTTTCTATAGTCTACATGCTGTAATAATTTTAGGAAGGTTATTATATTTTAATTTATTGTCAACTCACATTTGTCCTTTGTGTATTTTCTTTGTCACACTTGTAGTTTTTTATGTTAAGAACATTTATTCAAATGTAGAAATAAAACCCAATATTAAAAAAAAAGCTAAACTTTCTTTCAGTTTTGGTTTTCAGACGGTTGTGGCTTGATTTTTGGTTTCAGTTTTGGCCAAGAATATTCATTTTCGTGCTTCACTAATCCCTACTTTTTTGTTGTCAGTCTTTTTAAAATGGCACAAATGTTTCTGGTCATGAAATTTAGTCATTCATTACCGAAATGTTTTCTGCATGTTCTCTTCTGAATATCTGTGTAATTGTGGTTAGGTGAGTCGCATAAAGGAAACAGGTGAACTCTTCATGAAGAAAGACAGGCTTTTTGCTTAAGTCGGAAATGACCGTGTTGGGCGTTTTATTCATTGGTAGAGTTTCAGACACTGCAGTATATTCAGTAAAATTCAATAGACAGAAATGCCAGCCTTGGCAATAATGATTTCTAGAGCACTGCAACACTGCAAGTTAGCGCAAGGCTGCCTATGGGCTTTGGAGAATTTTTGACGCTCCCTAGCTCTAGGAATAAGCATAGTATAGTGTTACCTTAAGAGCAATATAAAGCTTTCTTGAACTCTCTGCACTCTCTTAAAAGCATCATATAAGAAAAGCAGCTAGAATAACTTCTCTGTGGTGTATGGAATTTATATAGTTCATTTTTCACAGCTGACTGCAGCTTTGCTCAGTGAAATAATCATCCAGTACTCTGCCATGGTACAGTGGTAGATTGGACAGATATGAGAGCTGATGGGCTGGCTCAGGCTTGCAGGCCTGCTGGTGTGGAGTTGAATGGAAGGTCTGTGGTTCAAGCTGATTAGACTGGAGGGAGCTATAGGTGCAGGTTAACTCATGCAGCACTGCTGGCCGAACCTGTACTCGGGGATCAAAACACCAGCATGATAACCACCACCGAAGAATAAGAAAGGCCATTATGATTAAATGACTTGCCTGTTTCAGCATGCAAGAGCAGTGATGCTCATGTACAGCACCTTCAGTTCATATTTCAGGACATTGTGGGTGCATTACGTACTGGAACGTGATCTCAGCTGAACAAAGATCAACGCTGAAATTATAATATTCTCTCTGTCTTTCATGGTTGAAGGCACAGGGGAACATTTAGTAACACAAGATTTAAACAAACAAAAAAAGCCACTCGCCAACAAACACCAGCATACTCAATGTTTTGGTTGGTTTGCCATACCATTACGTAATTGTTGGGAGACTCTAGGATAGCCAGAGTTGACCTGTAAGGTTGTTTGATTTGGTCGACCAGAACGTTACCCTAATCCCACCCCCTAACCCACATGTGTCAGGCTCCAGTCCTCGCAGGTCAAAACACTGCAGAATTCAGCACACTGCCTTATTTAACACACCTGATTCAGAAATAATCTGAATTCAGAGCGTTAGATGAGGGTAAATACTAGTCTCCACAGCACTTTGGCCTGGAAGGTCCCCAGTTTGACATGCCTAACCCAGTGAGAGAACAAACATATTTTCCCTTTAAACGTGTATTTCTGAAGTATTTTAGTAACAAAATATAGTGTAATGTTAAAAAACTGTAAAGAAAAAAAAAACAAATCAATTTAAAGCCTGCTTACTGTCTGTATTAGTATATTCCTTTGTCTTTTTTTTATCCCTTTTTTTGTCCACCACAGAAATTGCACTTTGGCTCCCAAGACAAAGATTGGGCACCCCCTGCTTTAAAATGTTCTCCTCTAGTTCACACTGTTCTAGAGTGTTCTCTTCCGTTCACACTGTTCCAGAATGTTCTCCCCCTATTCACAGTGGGTCATTTGGTTTATCAGTTCTTTTCTAAAAATTCTAAACCAGCTGCTGTCTCTTGGATTGTTGCTGTTTGTGGGGTTGGTGTGCTCTGGCCCAAATTCTTCAAAGAGAAGCCACTTAGAGTAGAAGCCACTGTTTGGCTTCCTTTCTAAGTGCAAAAAGTGCACAAAACTCTTTCTATTTCGTCATATTTAAAGGTGTGAACTCAGTTTCCATTTAGTCATATGTAACACATGCACCCCTTTTTTCTTTTTTTATTCACGGATCACTCAAGTTAAATTCCAAATGATTAAGACAGTTATATTTTCCATTACCCTTCCAGCCTCCAGTTGCTCCGCCCACTCTCCCGATGGCTCCGCCCAGCCCGAGCACCAATAGCAGCACGAATAATAGCAGCAGCAACAGCAGCACGACCGGATGGGAACAGCTCAGCAAAACCAACCTCTACATCCGCGGGTTACCCCCCTCCACCACCGACCACGACCTTGTCAAACTCTGCCAGCCGTAAGTGTACACAAGCATCTGTCACAAAGAAATGGTGCTGATCATGGCTTATTAGTCACAGATCGATATATTTCTGGTAATGTACAGAAAGTTCTGATTGTCAGGAGGAAATACACTGGTACAACAAAGAGATCTGGCCAGCTGGAAACAGCTTGAATCAGTAAGACTGCTGGAATTAAGCTGCGTTATAATCCTTTATAAAGCCTTTTATCATATATATATATGTGTGTATGTGTATATGTGTGTGTGTGTGTGTATATTCAGTACAGCAAATCTCTCGCTGTCCATTTCTCTCTCTCTCTCTCTCTCTCTCTCTCTCTCTCTCTCTCTCGCTCTCTCGCTCTCTCGCTCTCTCTCTCTCTCGCTCTCTCCCTCTCCCTTTCTTTCTCTCTCTCTCTCCCCTCGGCTGCTCTGCACAAGTGCCTCACGTGGGCAGCCACTGAAGCATGTAACCCACAGCAACAGCATCTATTTGTGTTCAGCAGGTTCAAAACAGCGGCCCTGGTGAAAACAGGCCCGCGCGAATATAGCCGGCATGATTCAGCAAATGTTCGACAAAAAAAAGGAAAGAAAAGGGTTTGGTTGTGGAGATCAGGGCCTGTGTTTACAAAGCCTGGTTAAAAAAGAGTGCTGCTGTAGGACTCGGCTCTGTGTTTTCTTTATAGACCCTTTTCACTGTGGGCTAAAACACACTACTGTGTGTTAAAAAGCGTTACTACAGCATGAACCATGCTGAGATTTCTCCCCTGCAAACTGCCCGACCTTTTGAATTGATCTGATATCATATTTTTGGGCATATAATAAATGTTAGTATTTTTTTGTTTGAGATAATTATCCTTTAATTGTTTCCAATCAGAGTTCCGCTTCCTTTTTGTTGTGTAATTAGTACTTACAAAGCAGATCATTTTATATCTGTGTTGCCCCCCCTAAATTTAGATTTATATACTGATACTTCAGCTGATATTTCAGCTAATATTTTTTCAGCTGCTTGTCTCCAATTACCAAGTGACTTCTCAGAGGAGTTCTTTAACGTTGGCTTGAGCACAGTATGTCTCTGAAGAGATGTGATGTGCTCTTGCTTTGGAGCCTCTTTGTACAATACTGTGTTTACTCATTCTGCACAATTCACAGATATGGACAGTGGAGCTGCAACCACATCTGAAGTCTGGTCTGGCAGTGCTATCCACTCTGTTTCCACCGTTCTGTGCACACTGGCAGCTTTATAGATGAGACTCTCTGAGAAAGGTGGCGGCTGCAATTAGGCCAGATTGATGCTTAGTATTGATATTCAGTATTTCATGTGTTCTCGTTGACCTTTTTACCCCATAAATCCTTTTGTGCTACAACATGTCCTTGCTTGAGTGCGTGTGTGTGAAAGAAGAGGAAAGTGTGTGTGTGTGTGTGTGTGAGTGTGTGAGAGATGTCCGGACATTCCTGTCGTGAGTTAATTTATCTTCGGCCGCTCTGGGGAGTCCAGCCATCACCATGGTAATTCCTGAAATTGATTCCTAGAAGTGAGCTTTGGAGGGGCTGTAATCCGTTTGGTCTGTATACTGGCTTTAAGGGTTTGCTGGGGTCAAATGTGCATTTGAAGTTTAAATGCTGCTCCATCATGTTACTCTTGGCTTACCTCAGAGCTAGGGCTGTCACAATTACTCCCATTATTCTATTACACAGGTAAACAAAATAAATAAAATTTCAATGAATCATCCATGTTTATTTGTTAGATTACATAATTATTAGGGATAGGTAACCTGACTATATTCCTTGCAATGGTGATACATCCATGCACGGTTTGTTATATCAGTGTAGTTATACCATTAATCATCAGAAGTGTTGTGAATGTTACTCTTTAGCTGTTAATTAAGGCCATTAATTGGTTATTAAAGCATAAGCAGCAGGCGTAACGCGCTGAAAATTTTTCTTAAGCGCCAGATTTGCCTTGATATGCTGCAGGCAGACACATGCCGTTGCAATGGGAATAGCTGAACGGAATTCTGCAGCAGGGCCAGGAAACGGGGCCTCTCCCCCAGAGTGAGGGGGTCAAGGCCAAGGTTGTGTGGGCCTCCATGGTGGTGGGTCATGTGATCTGTGTGTGAAACCCCATTGGCTCCCTCCCCCCCTTTCCCCTCATCTCATTTCATGGGACTTGTCAAGGAATGTTGTTTATGTTTGTAGAAGAGCGGTGAGAGAACTCATGCGATTACTTTATGCTGCATATCCAATCAGACTTTTATTCAATATAACTGCACAGATATTCGAGCCACTCTACAGTTCAGCAGATCGGAGGGGTGCTGTGGGCCAAGCCTTTGAGAAAAGAGTCTAACTTTGAATAGCTTGGGGAATATGATTAACACTTAGACGAAAAAATAAAATTTTGTGGAACTGAAATGACTCATCCACTCCCTAAAGAGGCATTTTCATTTTTAAAAGAAATTGATTCTGGCACATACGGGTGCTCTGATACGGGGAAATGTGGGCCGATGCCAGTTCTTAATATTTATCATGCATGTGTACAGTGAAGCCGATACATAGACATTTTACGGAATGTAGATCTACCTTGATTAGCATTACAGAGAAATATATCGTTTATTTGAGGGTTTCAAATACAGTAAAATTTTAGCACAATAACCCAGCATTGCCTAAACATTCTGTTCTTCCAGAGTTCAGTAATTACGTCATCAAATTAGTTTGAAATATCGGTCAAATCTAAACATCTATCCAATGCCAGTATATGTGTTTAAGCAAATATCTGTTAATACCGATGAGAAAGTCGGTGACTTTCTTGTATATTATTATCACAGGGAAATACAGCGTGCTAGCTTTTGCAGTGACACCATAGAAACGCTGCTATGTTAAAACATGAACCCCTACAAATGACTCTGTGGTGAAGAGTTGTTTAAAAGGCAAATGCAAATGCTGGTTTGATAGTTGGCTTTTCTGTAGGAGTATTAAATCTTCAACTGGAAAGACTAGATATAAATCAGCTGTTCCAGCAATGAACAGAAGAACGAACACTTCTCCTGTGCATATTCCAGCTGTAGGCATTTGTCTCTGGTTTGTTGAGAGACACTCTCACGCCTGCTCTCATTCGTCATCACTCACTCAGTGCCTCATGGTGGAGGACACACACACGCACACACATACACGCACACAGGCCTAAGGGCTGTTTTTCCTCTTGGTTGGCAGTGTGAATGTGGAAGGACTTCCTTTGAACTCTGAAAGCTCTGCGCAGTAATAACAGACTTCACTCGGACATGCCATCAGCCCAGTCCCAGCCTACTTTTGACACCTTCATTGACCTCTGAAGCACCTGGATTGCAGTTATACAGGGCTTCCCACATTTCTTTTACAAAGACTTTTTTGTGTCTGAGTTATACACCTTTAAACTAGTCTTTAAGTGAGGTTTTTTTGTGTGTATGTGTCCTGGCTCAGGCACTGTTGCCATATCTGTGCGCTGTGTCTTGCAGTCCTTTAGCTCTTTCATGCCATTTAACAGATGACATGCATAGACAGTCTGCCTCTGTCAGCAGAGGATGCATTTATCATCTCACTTATTCTCTTCCTCTTCCTCTTCCCCTCTCTCTCTCTCTCTCTCTCTCGCTCTTGCTCTTGCTCTCGCTCTCGCTCTCTCTCTCTTTCTTCCTCTTTCTCTGCAGGTATGGAAAGATTGTATCCACAAAAGCTATCCTGGACAAAACCACAAACAAATGCAAAGGTCTGTGAAATGGATTTCTTCAATACTGACATCAAACTTTCATCAGATTTCATGCAGGCCTTTTATTCGCAACTTGCAAGTTATGAACGAAATACCTATATTGTGATTACATTGCGATGTATTGCAATTGCAAAATGCCTTGCAGTATATTAAAACGCTTTGGTGAAAGAGTAATGATTAAAGCAACATGAATAAAAACTGAAATGCATTATTTGTTTCATTACATGAATATCTTGATTTAAAAGCACATTAGCATATTGCCACCTTTTGCAATATTAGTATAGCAAAGGCCAATGTTGCCATTAACAAGTTATATATTATCATGTTGTTGTATTAAGTTATTAAGGGGTAAAGGCACACATAATTAATTACAGTATCATCACTTAAGCAAATGGTCAGCTGTCATGCATGATCTAATGGATTGCCTCACCAAGATATTGATGAATGCTCTAGGGTGCAGTGTTTTATAGCACCTACTGATTTATTATTATTCTCTTCATGTATAATAACAGTGAGTGTCCTGTCTTCAGGTTATGGCTTTGTGGACTTTGACAGTCCAGTGTCGGCGCAGAAAGCTGTGGCAGCGCTAAAGAGCAGTGGCGTTCAGGCTCAGATGGCCAAGGTGAGACCACAACCTATGGCATCACTCCCTTCGTTTAAGGTGACTTACATTTATGACATGGATGTCTTTTGTTAAGGCTAAGAGTTTTATCTGAAAGCAGGTCTCTGTGAATGTGTGCGTGTCCTTTCTTTCACCCCTTTATCTCTTTTTATCTCTCTCTCTAGCTCTCTTGATCTCACTCACTGTTTTGCACAACACATTCACGTGGTGTGTGTGTGTGTGTGTGTGTGTGTGTGTGTGTGTGTGTGTGTGTAAAAGTGGGTGGGTGATAATCCAACTGCAAAAGCCTTCCTTTTACTGCAGTGACCTCCTCCCAGCTCTCTCAGAACGCTTCTGCATTCACCCTCAATTATTCATCAGCTCTCCTTTTCCAGCGCTTCCTCTCTATTATGGCACACCGCTCTGCTGCTTTCCTTTTTCCACACTAATGGTTGCATGTGCATGCGTGTGTGTGTGTGTTTGTGTGTGTGTGTGTGTGTGTGTGTGTGTGTTGGGAGTCACAGCATCTGACACATACATGATGGCAATTTTTTTTCTTTGCTTGGCCCCCTTCATTTCTGTGGATGCCTCTAGAGCAGGCAAATGAGGAGCCTTCCACAGTCAGCCAAAGGCCGTATGTTAATCCTTGCTCATCGCCATGGCTACGACCCCTTGTTAACTAGAGGGTTATTGAGGATCATAAATCCAGGGTGCCCTTATAAACCAAATTGCTTCATGGAGAAAGAATGTCAGATTTGCCTCAGGCACACTGCAGCTCAAATTAAGCCTGACGCTCTGCTCTAGGAATGCAGAAGCTGTCATTTTTCCCTTCAGTGAAACAGATATGGATTAAAGAGGAGAAAAAAAAGAAAACTGTGATTCTCTGAGGGTCATTCCACCATGTTGGCCAAAGCCTTTTCGTAAAGGATAAGTCTTGCTTGTCAAAAAGTTAAACCCTCTTTTGTGTTAGTAAAGCTACAAAAGGCCCCCCACAGCAGAGCAAAGGCCTTGTTGAACATACATAAATGTCTCCATGTCTACACAAACGTCTACATAAATATGTACCTGTCTTATTTGTTATAGCAACAGGAGCAGGACCCAACCAACCTGTACCTGTCCAACCTGCCAGTGTCCATGGACGAGCAGGAGCTGGAGAACCTCCTAAAGCCCTTTGGACAGGTCATCTCCACCCGCATTCTCAGAGACGCACATGGTGTCAGTCGGGGTGTGGGCTTTGCCCGGTCAGTATGTGTGTTTTGTCTGACAAAGCATAAATTGGATTATTTAAATATGTGCATTTTAAAGCAACAATGCATGCATGTGAACCAAGTCAATGATAATTTGACCTAGAAATTTTTTTTTATTAATTTTATTATTTATTTGATTGTATTTTTTATTTTCTTTGGGAATTGTATGTGCTAATGCTTGTTATCTCTTATTTTTCCTCATCTCATTCTTTCCTCCTCTGCCTGTCCATCTCTCAGAATGGAGTCTACAGAGAAGTGTGATGCTGTGATCTCTCATTTTAACGGGAAGTTCATTAAGTCCACATCAGGAATGCTGGGTAATTAAATGTTGTGTTGTTCTGTCTTTTCTGTTTGTCACTGTACATCTGATACTTATTTTCTCATTTTAGCTTATGTTAAAAATAAAAGACTCAACCTCTCTGTGTGTATACATGTGTAGGCACATCAGAACCACTGCTCTGTAAGTTTGCTGATGGCGGTCAGAAGAAGCGACTGAGTCAGACTAAATATGTTCCCAATGGACGAACCTGGACAAGGGACGCCGAGGTGAGACTAGTAAGTCCATCTTCTGTGCTTCAATGTGTAGGTGTACATGTTGGGGTGTGTGTGTGTGTGTGTGTTTTGCAGTGGATTAGACATTTTATCAGAGGGCATTTCACAAAGGAGGACACCTCAGTCAGCCAGATTACTTAAATCCAAAGCTGAAGATGTCCAAGCTTGACTTTGGGCTTAACTTATCTGGCTAAACTGAGAATCTTCATCTTCGTGTAACATGCACCCCCCCCAATTAATTTGGCCACCAGATGATACAAATGTTTGCCTTTTCGTGTTATTACTTGATGCTTTTATTGGTACAGCTATGTACAGTGAGATTTAAAAGCATTACATTAAATCAGAAATTCAAATCTAAGTAATATCATCAGGGTATAGAATTTTAAAGGGTTTTTTGTTTGTTTTTTTTCCCATTCAGAGTGGGATAACATTGACCTATGACCCTAATGCGACTGCCCTCCAGAATGGGTAAGTATCACCAAATCGTGTCCCTAAAACCATCGTTCTTTAACTTGGTACCACTTTAGACTAGATTTTAGTGCATTACAATTTTTTTTTCATATAGCTTTAAGGTCATATCCTATTATTGGATAGTACTGAACACTCCAAATGCTTTAAATATTCTCTGAGATTTGTAACTGTCTTTTGTAAGTTTGTGTGTAGAAAATAAAAATACTATAAAGATTAAAAAAAAACTGTTTTGAAGGAAGAATTATGATATAATTGCTATAGTTACTTGTTACACCTGAGCCTATTTGAGCGTAACATGTTGATTTTGTTGCCCTGACAGGTACTATGCCCCTCCCTACAGCATGGGGAATAGGATAATGGCCCAGACAGCTGTGACTCCCTACATCTCACCTGTCTCCACCTACCCGGTATGATCTCTTTACCTTGCCCTTCCATCCTCCAACCATCCTAATTTCCACTGCTGACTGTTTTTTTCAGACCTGGTGGCTTTACTCCTACCCTGCATTCACATTAGCAGGAGAGAGGCGACCGGTCATTTCTTAAGGGAGTAGGTTATTTGTAGCTGCAGTTAAGCAACAAGGTGACAAGCAACAAAGCAAGTTGACATTTTCTTGACTTTATATAAATTAATTATGGGTGAAGCAACAATCTAAACGACTGGCTCCAACAAATTCTTCGGACCACCTGCAGACACCGTGGCCTAAGGTTCCCAACCCCCTGCTCTTCCTAGTGGCATTTGGTTCCTGTTCCACATAGTATCATGCAAAAATGTGGAAGAGAAACTTGTGAACTTATAACTAGACTTTATATTTTAGACAAAACAGCAATACTTTAAGTAGATACTTTTTGCATATTCTTGTCAGAAGCTGGACAGCACACAGGACCACATGTAACAAAGTGACCTTGAGGACGCTCACAAGAGACACACTTGGGGCGACATAAACCACTTGTGACCACCTAATGTATATAATATATATATGTATAAAATATATTTTAGGCTGTGGTTATTAAGGTTATGACTGTTTATGCATTATATGTGGATTGTGGCAAGTGGCCCAGTAGCCATTGTGTTACAGTAGGTATTCTGCTGCTGCAGGAACATGATGAGGAGGATACAGCAGCTGCGTCAATGTAGTTAGTCTTTTGTGCCTGTCTTGCTGAGTATTTAGCTTTCAGATTAAAATCTGTTCTCATCTGTGATTTGTGTATTTGTGTCATTGCAGGTCCAGAATCCCTCCTGGATGACACATCAGCCTTACATTATGCAGCACCCGGTAAGAGAAAAGTACCATTTTCTCACTTTCTCTTGCCTTATATTGTCCTTGCTTGTACCCCTTCTCTCTCATTCCTACTCCCCTCTGAAATCAATCACCAGAGGTGTTGCACAAGACATACCACTTCCGCTTCATGCATCTGGGATTCTGTGTGAGGGCGAGTGTATATGCGTGCGCACGTGTGGGTCATGAGACGGGTGTGAATTAGACATCTCCTGCAGCGACTTCACATGAAAGGAAGACGGAAATGCGGTCTGTTCTCCTTCAACAGATGGTTTCCCTCGAAACTTCACTGCCATCTGACCTTTTCCCCTCTTTCCTTCTCACTTTATCTGCTTCTTTTTGCTGGGTTCAGCGAGAAGATCCTGACTCTGTTCGCTCTCTTGCCCCCCCCTTTCTCTTTTTCAGGGAGCTGTACTGTCGCCCTCTATGGAGCACCCCATGCCACTACAGCCGTCCTCCATGTTGGCTCCTCTGACTCAGCAGATGGGCCATCTCTCTCTCGGTGGCACTGCAACTGTAAGAGCCACAAGAACATCAGGGGCCAACATGGTTCCCACCATAAACTTAAAACTATTAAGATTTGGCTTTAATAGTCATGTACTAATGTGCTTTTTTTTTCACAGTTTATTCCGGCAAATACAGCTATGCAAGGAGCATATATTCCTCAGTATGCCCATATCCAACCTGCCGCCATTGCCACTGAGGTTTGTCCCACTGTTACATACTACTGTTTTTCTGTCTACACTAAAGCTGGGTCTATGCTGCATGATTTTTAGGCTGGTTTTGCCCCTTTTCCAGAAATTTCCATAATGTGAAACTATTTTCCAGTAGGGAAACATTGAATGGTGCAGTCTGCCTGGTAGTGTGAGAGGGGAAACGAATCAATCTTTAGATTCTGGCAATATCCAATGATGGAGCTAGTAGAAAGGAAAAGGTGAAGGGTATGTGTATGCTTGTATAACAGACTGCAGAGACAGAAGACCTGCATACTAAACACAGACAAATTAAAGCTTTTATAATGTTTATGTATTAGGCCTGTCACCATTATTACATAATTGCCTAATTGCAATTATTTGAGCCAATATGGCTACTTTTGACTTGTACTTTAATACGTGCATAAAATGAACAAAATCTCCTGATTGTAATGGCCCTATAATGGATGGACCCAGATGTCAAGGCAAGAAAGGAAATTTTTGTAAAATTTCAAGTCAGCTGCCAGTTTGTAATCTCAACCACATATCCATCCCCAGTCTGTGTTTTTGCTAACCTTCTTGTGTGTGCATAATCGCACAGACAGATATGGTGCAGGTTAGCTTTGTTTGTATCACATGATAACAAGTGAGATTTGAGGTTTTGAGTACTTTTTCATAGCCAATATTTATGTGAGAACCTCTAATTGTCTAGGGTGCACTTCCTCACAACAAGGGAACTTTGTAAAATACTGACATTAAGTGAGCAATGCTCTTCGTTTTCAAAATCTGTCATGTACCGTACGTCCAGCCTAACAACACATCAGGTTCAACCTGATTGCTTTTAGACTGCCAAGCTTTATCATCTCTTGTTATAAGCCATTTATAAATGCTGTAAAGCATTTATCAATGTTATAACTAATTTATTAAAATGTGTGCTTTATCTTTATAGGATCCCAGTGTGCAGCCCCAGGATGTGACCTCTAGTGATCCCTCCACTTACCCGTTCCAACCTAGCAAGCAATAAAAGGGTACGTTTCAAAGAGAGTACTATAAAGTACTGAAGGCTTCAACAAGCCACCCGTTTCTCAGTCTATAGTGCAGTGCACTGTACTCTGATAATCAGACAATGTTTCACTAGTTTTTAGAAATAAAATCTGATGGGTAACCTGGCTCCATAAAGACACAGTGTCCCACCAGTCTCCCTCCGCTAAATAAACAGTCTAAATAAACATTGTGTTTGTGGTTAGTGTCTACATTGCATTTTTTTTTTTTTCAATTACAGTTGAGCAGTTGGAGGCAGATTTAGAGGAGGGCTCCTATGACTACAGGCCTCTTTGGACGGGAAGTGACATCACAGAGGAAACAACACTTTTGCACAGGTTCCAGAAAACAAGTCTATGGTGTAATCAACCAAACACAAACCACCTCAGAGGCCCTCGACAGGTGCAACATGGCTTCAGCAACCAAAACAATGCAATTCATCCGAGACAACAGACACAGGAGCGAAGCAGAGTTTTATTTTGCTAACGAAAGGAAAAGAGACGAAGACAAAACGCTTATTTTTTACCAAGGACTAAGGCACAGACAAAGTCTGTGAATACAAGACAGAAACGCAGTGTGCTAGTACCTTTAGATGCATGAGAGGACTTTTTAGTATGGTTTTTAGAGTGTTTTTACTGACCGTTTCTCAGACACACACACACACACACACACACACACACACACACAAATGAGGATAAAAAAAAAACAAAAAAAAAAATTTGCTGTGGTAGTAGCAATGGAGAGGTTTCTTTTTGCTTTTGTCTTCCGCACTTTGCCTTTTTGGTCCGTAGTTAAAGAAATTTGCCTTGTAAATACTGTAGAGCGGGCTTTAGAATCAAACGATGAAATGCTTGATGGGTATCAGTCTTCCCTCCTGTCTGTCAAAGCGGATGTTTCACACGTGAGTAGAATGCTTTCTTTTGGGTTTTTTTTTCCAAATCAAAGCAGCTTTACGGCGTGCTGGAGATCTTGTAAAGTGTGTGGCAGAATGGTCTAGTTCTGCTCTCCTCTGAATGCGCCCGTTTAAAGTCTTCTTGCCTTTTCAATCAAACTTGATGTGGTAGATGTAGGTGAAGCTGTTGTTTTTGGGGAGGGGAGAGGGTGGCATCCCAGTGGGAGGATGGGTGGGGGAGGGGCATGAATATTTGGGTCAGGAGGGTTTGGGTGGGCTGGGCTGGGCCGAAATGATGGGTGGGGGTGGAATATCGGTATGGGGTGAGGCGGGAGTGGGAAGGGATTGACTTTAGGGGAGACAGATGCCGTTATTGATAGTTTTCAGAGAGCAGATTATGATGTTTTTTCTATGGCAGTTTTTTTCCTTTTTGTTTTTACACAGTGTGTAGAGATTTCTCGTACCGAGAGGCAGAAGTGCAATGTTTCTTTAGATAGAAAGTGAGAGCTGTACAAAACGAGTAAAAAATGCAAAAGTTTTTATAAGCAAATCAATCATTTAAGAAATAAATCCCAGGTTTTTTCTGCAATTCCATTAAAGCAGTAACCCCTCAAGTTCATTGCAATATTAAGGGCTGCAGCTGTCAATCAGAACAAGTAATACAAAGAGCAGGGGCTTTAGATCAAATTTGTAATCTCTTAAAAATGGAGCATGAGAATACAGATAGGACAGTTAAGGAGAGCATACAATTAAGTGTTTGTGAACAAGGGGGCAAATACAAACTTTCTGAATCAGTAAGAACTAAGCTGTTCTGTATTAAATTGAAGTAAGAGTCCCTCAGAGAAAATGAATTAAGCTAAGGCAATAAAAAATGTTAATGTTAAGGCAATTAAGATACTTTCCACCAAAGATCTTCAAATTATTATTGTAATTGGTGTGGGCTATTGCTGAGATGCAGGTGTATGCTATTAATATGTAAGTTTGGAAATTGTGCCTTTTTTGCCAACCCTGGCACTGTTTTAATCAAGTTTTTATTCAACTGTATAATCAGACATGATGCGTCTGAGAATAAGGAAAACGTGCAGAAAGAGAGATTGGACTGATAAACTAATCAAAGGCTCGTAAAGCAGATCCAAAGGAGGCTTTGATCTTTAACGCAGATAGTTAAACAGATTTATGTGTGTCCGTTGTGTGGCTGTTTTCTTTTGATGTCCAGGTCAGCTTGGCCGTCGATCTACCTCAGAGTTGTATCTGTTGTCTGATTGGTCAGGTTTGCAGGTCTATCCTGTCCAGTCAGGAGTAAAAATGCCAGCTCTGGAGCTGGAATCATACAGGACTTCACCTTTAACTCGTTCGTTTGTCCACTTCTTCAAGTAAACATTTGTGTTTTTATCTGTGTGTCTTTTGTTGGTTATTTTTTTGTATTATGATGTTCTGGGTTCAGTCATCTGGAGGATCACTAAAATGATTGTTGCCCTCTTTGTTCGGATTAGCTGCAGTAGTGAGAGAAGCCTGCGCGACTGCTACACAAAATGAAAATTATGGAAAGGAGAATTATGGACTGTTTTGTACTTTATACCCAGACAGGCTACATGCTCTGCTTTTTAAGTCCACACAGGATTGTTGCAGCCTCTTTCAATTCATCGAGGCTTGATTTGAGTAACCAAAGTAACACCTCATCATGAAGACCGACATCGAAGGGGGATGCATTTCATGTGACAAGAACACAACCCCTTGTGCCGGAGAGTAACGGAGAATAAATGGAAAACTGAAGAAAATACATACACAGGTTTCACAGAAATGGTGATACTTTTTTATTTCTCTATTGTACACATGCCACGATTTTAACAGTGGCAACTTGTACGTCCAGCTACAAACAAAAAACCTGCTCCTGTGTTTTGTTTCTATTTTTCTTCAACCTGTTGATTTTTTTTTTATTTAAATGCTTTTTATGTTTTATTTCTATGATTTCCTCTGTGAAAAAGTTTTGAATTAAAGACACAACTCAAACCTTCCCCTTACCTCCACTTTTACCTGTGTGATACTGTGTTTGTGGGACTCATTGGCTAACATTCAGTAAGTTTTATAATTTAGGGCACCCTTAGTCAAGATTGGTTAAAGGTCAGGTAAAATATATATATATATATATATAGTTTTTTTTAATGTCAGCCAAGACTTTTCACAGATTTAAATATGAAGTGAAAGAGGCCAAATTCCCTTAGTCATTCATCAACACGGGGATGCCACTGGAAGTTTGGAAGTGGGTTCTATGGTCAGATGAGATAAGAATAGAGCATTCTAGCAAGAACCTAAGGTGGATCTGGTATTAAAAGAAGGGTGGAAGTTAAAACATAACCGAAGCCCCACTGTTAAGTATGGTGGAGGACCTGTGTTTTTTGGAGGCTGTTTATTCTCCAAAGACCCTGAGAACCTTGTTAAGATACGTAGCATCATTGACTTCATGAAGTGCCTGGACATTTTAAATAAACATCTGGCTGCCTCTGCTTTTGACATGGCCATCCTAGTCCCCTGAGCTAAACCCAGTGAAAACCTGTGGGGTGAGCAGAAGAGGAGAAAGGACCTAAGACCCTGGAGGATCTGGAGAGATTCTGTATTGAGGGGAAGTCTCAGATTCCTTGTTCTGTATTACAGGAGAAGATCCTTTGCAGTTATGTTGCTACTAATTGGAAGGCTGCCAATAATTGTGATGTGGTTTTGTATAAATTTCTTTTCTGATATGGGTTTTTCATTTCACAGACTGAATTCACTTTAATCAAAGGTTTAAGGCTTCTGTCATGCTTTAAGTGTAAGACTGAGCTAATTAACCATTTTTCATTACTTTTTTTTTTAACCATATTTACCATAAGTTTGCTGTATATGCCCATTTGTAGTTTTTGCTATAGAAACCAAGAGTACTGTGAAGGGAAATCCTCACCTCAAGTAGGGCTCAGAGTACTGTGCGTGTGTGCCACAAGTGTGTGCAACATAGGAATGTGCAATGCCGCACCAAGACAATTCCAAAACTTGCTAGTGTATGAAGATACAGTTTGTGGGTGGGTGGGTTTGTTAATCCGTCACAGCTGCTGTTAAACTCTTGCCCCAGTGTCTGTCCTCTTGATACATACTGGCCATGAGCTGCCATTACTGCACATTTCTTAGTGTTTTTTATCATCGTCATTATCATAATTACTCTTAAAAGAAAGAAATCTTGATTATGAGCAACAGCCTGATGAGTTCACTTAGCGGACATTCACCAGTAGGTGGTGCTCTAGTGTCTCTTTTAATAAATATGACTTGCCAAGCTTAATTTATAGTCATTCGATTATGGACCCCCAAAAGCCCAACCATAAGCGTGTAATTGAGACCCAAGCTGCCACGTTTGTTTTTAGGGCGTGCACATGAAGTAGAAGAGTCTCTTTAATGAGTGAATTCTCGCCTCTTCAGCCTACTGATGCCGCCTTTGTAATAGCAGCCTGCTGGGGCTTATCTACAAAGCCAAGAGCTTATGTGGAGCTGATGCCAGAGACTCACAGGCACCGCATATGTGTGTGTGTTGGAGGGTATTCTCAAGAGTCTTACTAATTTATAGTTCAAAAATGTTGCGCTTGTGCTCATGTGCACCCCAATTACTCATTTGTCAGAGACTCAGCAGCACAAAGGTATTAACATGAAACTTTTAACATGAACATCTAAAGACTTAAACATTATGCATTGTAAAAATAAATAATTTAGGAAAATCATTAAACTGAGGAAAGTTATACAACATTATAAAATCTGTGCATGATATAGGGGAGAGTGTGGCACCTAAGGTAAGGTAAAATGTAGCATGGATGTTTTATGTACTTCAACAAGTTGGAGTAAAACATGCTTTTGGTCATCTCTTTGGATTCCCATAGTAACATCATATGCAAATTTTGACCTCAATCTGACAGATATTTCACAACCTGAAAACTGTTCTTACATTATAAAATTAACTTTGTAACTCACATACATCTATATCAATTTAATTACTCGCTTGGTCACTGTAATATAGCACTATTCTAAATCATATGAGCAAGTCACAGTGAGAGCCATCCAGGCGAAAGTACAGCTTCCAAATGGTGAGGTCAGTTGTAACACATTGTTATAACTAAGCCTTCCAAAATGAACAAAGACAGAAGTCCATATCTCGCCATAGTTCAGATTTGAGTTTGACATTTTTATGCACAGATCTCACATATTATGTAAATAAAATATATTTCAAGTTTATCATGCTGATGTTTTCCACTTTGCAGTCAAATATAGATTTTGATATGTTTGACAGCCTCTTTTACTAATGACATTTATATATATTTTTATGCACTCCATCTGTTAAAATTAACCTCAAATATGGGCTAAGTTGTAACATTCATAAGTATCACTATTTTTGTACATTTTTATTATTCTACATCTTTTGAACATGATGACTGTCCTTTACACTGTGTGAAAATATAATTGAGCAACAGAAATGCTCTGAAGTCACTTGAAATGAAACCTCTTTACAATAAAATGTAAATGTTTTTGCTTTTTCTGTAAAGTTACAATTTGCATTCTATTCGGCTGTTCATAAACAGCATGTGCTAGCTTTGATTTGTAATAGAGAAGTGTACAGTGCTTGCAAAAAAATGTGATCTTACTCAAATAATTTTAAAATTATTTAGCACAAAACAAAATAGGTCAAGTTACTAATTACACATGTTAAGATACAACATGTTCAACTGTGTTAAGAAAACAGTTTTCCAGAAATCATTTGGGGAAACCTCATCTAAAGTGGAAATATCCAACTGTATATCTATTTCATACACACTGATTTGTGATCCTAAAAAGTTTTTTTTCTAACTAGATTAGAGATTTTACTACTCTAATGTTACATTTACTCCCTCCTTTCTCTAAACCTCCACAGCTGAAGGCACACATGGTATATTTCCCCGTGGGAGTGTGAAGGTTAGGTTATGAGGGATATGTTTCTCTGTGTGAGTGGGTGGGTGGGGGGGCATGGGGGGGGCATCTGAAAAGCTTTCCTTTCAACCGAAATACCATTTTAACTCATACATCACAAGACCACAAGAGTTAGTCATTCAAAGCTCACCCACAATCACTGACTAGCACTGGCAATTTTGGATATATGGCTGGTAATTAAGACGATACAGGATGCCAATTAAATTTGCATGTTCAGTCTGGAACATACAGCTTTGTGTGTTCAGCTTCTAAAAGTTTCTTAGCTTGAATGTGGTTAGAGAATCCACCTACATGTTTTTTCAAATAGTGCAGGTGATTTTGTGCGTGTGTTTGTGGTTACGTGCGTGGGTTTTGTGTCACACAATCACAGTATCTTCACTCACCTCAGCATCTGTTTAAACTTTCCACTTTTCCTTTCTTTGACTCTCCTTCTTTCTTATCTCTCTCCACCATTCTCTCCTCATTTCACTTTTCCATTATCCTGGTAAGTCAATTCTGACTGGCGATGCCGGCTGTTTCTGGATTCGGTTCAGGCCTTTAACATAAAGCAGACAGTTCACAACTGAAACCAATCCCACACACACACCCGCAAACACAATCTAGACAGGAGACACGAGACATAAAAAAAAAAAGCACCTAACAGCTATGTTCCACCAGAATCAGTTCCGCTCTATGACAGACAGCTTAAACCACTAACCTACATGTAGGTACCCAGAGCGTGTGCACATGCTTACAAATGCGTACATGAAGATACACTTGGCTTGTCACTCTAACCTCTAACCTAAACCTCTCTCTCGCTCTAACGAAAGGAGTGCTTGACCGTGTGTGTGCGTGTGTGCAGCTTACCAGTTGTTGCCATCATTCAGTCTGCGTATGTGTGTGTATTATGAGTGTGTGCGCTCGGGCCTTGTGAGTGGGGGGGGGAAAGCAGGCGTCATGCTCCATAAAGCCACTCTGATACTTCAAGTTTACTGTTACTCCGACACATACTGTCTGCTGGACGGACACTTCCACGCTCGCCGCTTCTCTCTCGCCGGTGTCAGTTTCAGTATTTCCGATGCATGATCAGAAATCCCGTCGGCAGCGTGGACACTATGATAACCGAAGAGGCTCCTGGAGGTATGTGAACAAAAAACATACAAGACACAAGCATGGAGAACCATGTTTCTCATTTGGTACAACAGAGAAAGGCAATGAATTGAGGTTTGATTGTTGTACTAATGGTCCACGTCATGACCCAGACACTTTAAGAGATTCTCAACTGTTCATAGCTACTGACAGTCTGTAGGAAGCTAACAGCTAATGACAGTCTTTAGCTACATGCGGCACTGCTAATATGCCAGTATTGTACTATATGCCAATTTGCAATGCATTAAAGAAAAACACCAGTGTTTTAACCTAATTCATATCTGCCGCATTTGAAGCATATGTTGATTAGCACACACAATAAATTCCCCGTGCTTAGAAAGGAACAGGAAACCCACTGGCTCACAGCTGTAATAGAAGCCAATGGACAGTTGCTGAAGCACCTGGTGAAAAATGAGGAGGGAAAACATGTCAAATATATTGTGTGTGATAACTGACCATATGTTATAGATACAGCAGATAGCAAATAGGTTGTAAACAAACACACTTAAAGTTGTTTGATGTGAAATGCACCATTCAACATAAACGTTCTAAGTCATATTGTTCACAGCGATGATGATAGGAACTAGACATCTAAAACATTTAATGCCTGTAAAAGCTTCCTCATGAAATGTTAGCCTGATGCCTGAGAATTTGTTTTCCAATAGTTTTACATATAAAAACTCGCTGGTGTCGGCATCATGACCCCGGTTTATACCACTACTGTAAAGTGGTTGGTTAGTTTATCTACAATTCACCATTTCACATCAAACCACTAGTAACGACTTTGTTTACATTGCAATGACTGAATTATGCAGAAATTTTGATAAAGCGATGGGATTCCTTTGTTAAAAAAAAAGGACATGAAAGTAGAGGATAAAGAGAGAGTAGCTGCTTCACTGATGGCTTCATGACAACTACATACAGTTGTCAGGAACCTCTCCTCACACTCTATACCAACCCTCGTCTCTTACTTTCGCTCATGCTCTCACTCTCACATAATGAATAATGTAAACAGTGGTCTACAGCAGTCATATCTCTCCAGTCAATCGGTCCTGGATCGCTTGCTCAATCTAGTTTGCACCTTGGTGTGTTTCTTTCCTCTGTAATGTTAATCATTAAAGTTTCTGTCATTCTTTTGAATTATGACAACAATGACCCGCGCTCATTTCCCGGGGGCTCGTCATCTAAACATTAACCCTCTTTTATCATTATTTGTCTGTGAGGTTCATACTCTCAGACAAGCAGGCTGACTCACGGCTGCTTGAGCAGGCGTGGCTCATACACACACCTGTTTGCATCCACACAGAATGGAATGTGTCCTGCTAGGCTTGAAGAAACCCAACATGTATCAAGATAGCTAATGTTTATAGTGTTGAAAGTATGCAACCGTTAGGTCAGAGAAAGCTCAAAGTAGGGCAGGCTGAAAGGCTTATGTTTTACAAAAACTATAAAGAGATAAAACTTGCATCACAATAAATACATACAATACTGAGCTGGTCGAAGATAAAACAGTGGACCAATAATGGCCAACGAGTTCTATTGGCAATGTCAATAAATTTAAAGACATTTTAATCAGCCTTTAATAAGTTTCAAATGCCCAAAACAAGTAGCTTTGATTCAAGTAGGTATGATTTGTTGTACAGACATTGCCTAGGGTTTTAGTTAAGCTATGTGTGCAAAAAATCCAGTGTCAGCTTTAATTAAATGCAACTAATTAACCGCTGTATATTAAACCCACAACGTCTGCTTTGGTCTTTACACATCGTTCCCAACTAAAGATTTTTGATAACAATCCAGTGAATCCCAGAATAAAAATCTGAAATGTAATGTGTGTAAGACGGCAAACTCTCAAAGAGTAGAAACTTCATGGGAAACCAGCTATTTAACCAAGCGCTTTAGCTCAATTCTCCCATTTCCTTGTTTTTGTGGAATAGTAAAGGGTTTCCTTTAAAAGCCACAGAACAAAAAGGAGACTTACCGAACTTCACTGAAGAAGTGAGAATCTGTTGAATACCCATATATACTGTTGTATGCAAAAGTTTGAACATCCCCAGTCAAATGTTTTATTTTCTATGTGAAAATAAGTTAACACATCCTCTACAAACAACATCTAATCAGTGTAAATGTACCCTCAACGGATACAACATGGTCCTTAAGGTCCAAATGAGTACTAAATGAGTTTACACTACATTCACTTTCCAAGGGGAAAGGTGCAAAATGTGCAAATCTGTGTGGAGTCAAAGCAACTTCAAAACATATATGACATATATTCAAAAGTATATGACACAATTAAATTCCCTAACTAAACGTACTGAAGACGTAGCCTCGAGGGTACCACCCCACTGACAGTTTACTACCTTTTTCTGAGAGTGTGCCTTCGGTTTATATCTTGGCTATTCAGTTCATGAGGAGAGAGACAGGCATAACAACTTAGGTAAGTATACAGATCAGAAGTCTTAGCACTGACTTAGCTAGAACTCTTGCTATTATTTTTAGCCACCTCTGTTCATTATTATTAAGGCTGTTAACATTGCCATTGAGCAGCAGTATGACTTCTATTCCTTACAATGTTGACTTTCGTTCAAAAAAGGAGTAAAATAACGGTTTACCTTGTGTGAATTCTGTGGTAAAGCTCAAACAATACAGCCTATCAGGCTAATGGAATGGCTAATGAACTTAAATCAACACTATTCGGTGAATTTTAGCTCCTGTCGTTGACGTAGACTTCTCAACGTAAAACTATCATAAATGCCCCCTCCTTGCTGTGTTTTCCCGCTCTCCTTCCTCTCACCTGTACGGAAGTGTGTGGAAAAGGCTGGGCAGGTAAGAATGTTCTCCTCAGGTGAGGGAGCCAGCTCCGAGCTCTGCTCCACACTACTCCGTTTTCTACCTGAAACGACATAAATATGGTCCTATTTTCTCCCTCACGCAGCGACCTTGAGGACTAATGGGGATTGTTTTAATAAGCCTGCTCCTTCAATACTGGCTTAGCACCGTCGAAGGTAAGACTCTCTCCTCTTTGTTTAACTACTTGAAAACTCAGTCAAGTTCAACCCTTACCTCGAATTTCGTCTCACTTTTCTTGTCATTATCATTTGACCTTCATCCTCAAGCCATGTTTAGCTGTAGAACAGGTCTCTGTTTTGCCGGCGAACCTGACTGGAGCGGTGTTTTGGCACCTCACTCCGTTTAAGCTAGCTTTTTTCTTTCTTTCTTTCTTTTTTGAAGTATCGTGTGAACGCTTGGTTTCGTGACTGAGGTGAACCGCACTGACGAACCACTTCTGTCTTGTCTTTTCCTGTCCTGTCTGCCATTAAAAAACAAAACCGTATGCAGGGACGTGCTCGGCGCTCACGTGCGACGCTTGCGTGCAACTGGGGCCGCAGTGCGCGTGGTGCACGCTGCAGGTAGGACATTCTCTCAATGGTACCGTAATAATGAATACAGTGTTAGTAAAGAAATAGTACCTCAGCAATTGACTAGTTTAAAGATAAACCACAGCTTTAGTCAGAACATGTGCTTTTTCTTCAGAGTGCCGATGCTATAGCATGTCCTCGCGCCGCGCTGCGCCGTGCCGCACACCGGAGCTCGGGCCTGCTCTCGCGCTCCGTTGCGTTCACCACTGTTATTTAAGCGATTGTTTGTTTGTTTCCTCACGCCTGCAGAATTTCACGGGCTCGTTAGCGGACGGAGAGCGCTGCGGCACGCTGGAGGAGCTGAGCGCGCGAGGATGCGCGGGAGAGGCCGTGGAGTTCCCGGTGACCCGCGCAGAGCTGCTCGAGGAAGAACCGCTGGGCAAGAGAGCGGGGCGCGCTAACGTGTCTCACATAGCGCCGCAGAGGATGGCGCTCAGACTCAGGCCAGGTGTGTAGAGCACAGATTTCATCCTACACCTGCATCAGAAACCTTTATAGTACACGTACACGTACAAAAGTATCCAGACAGAGTTCAGCTACTTTAATGTGCAGCTATTGCTGCGCACGCACAGCTTGGCCACTGCCAGGTGTTAGCTAGAGGGCTAAAAAGACCCCCCCAGCATGTCTGGAGCTGGAGCTCCATCCAGTTCATCTGGGATTGGGGTGTAATGATTCACAAAATTCATAATTTCCCAAGGAAAAAATATCTTTCTTAAGATTGCCTCAAAGAAATAAAGCAGATCTCAGTATTGTGTAAGTGAAGGCTCACTGATTTCTGAATTCTCTCAGTTAAAACCCCCTTAGCAGAAAAGAGGAGATTAACATAAGCATTTCATTGTGAGAAGCTCTGGTGTTGATTGAGGAAAGCATGAGTTCTCCTTCTATGCTGACAGACTGCTGAAAGGGTTCTAGAGCCGTGTAAGAAAACAATGAAATCTGAACCTTTTCAAAGGGAAATTAAGCACAAATTCAATTCAACAGTATTTAATTATAATATGTTAGAAAAACTGCTTACAATAAGTTCTCTCGATTTTAAGACAAAGAGTCGAGTCAAATCAAATTTATTTCTAAAGCATATTTAAAAAAAGCCAAAGCTGACCAAAGGTGCTGCATAGCTAATGAAATTACAATTAGAAACCAATAATAAAACAGAACTACCCGAATCATAGAAAAAATGTGACACAGCACGTAGAATGATTAATACCTGTGGAAATATGTAAAGAGGAAGTAATATTTTCAAAATAGGTAGAGTCTGCGCTCATTGTGGGGGTGTCCAGTCTGTTGAACACATTATTTGATACCTTTGCATGTTGAATTTGGCTCGTATTGAAGGATATGGTACAGTACATTGTGTTGTTACACTCTACTTTGGGATAAGTTAGTTGTATGAATGAGTTTGGGTTTCAAAACTAATCATCCAACATCAGCACCTGACCTCACTAAAGCTCTTGTGGCTGAATGCAGTCAAATCAATTTACATAATTTCCCAGAAGAGTAGATGCTGTTACTGCACGAGAGGATGACAAAATCAATATTAAAGTCTTTGAATATGAGAAGAAATCTTTGATGAGCAGGTGTCTGCAAACTTTTGAACATGTGTATTTATTTACTGAAGAAATCAAGATAATCAGAAGCAGGAATTAAGTGCATGTGCTCACAGTGGATGTACTTTAGACATAGCCTACTCTTAGAATAAATTGCCATCATTTAAAAAAAAGCTTATATATTTGCTTACTCAAGAAGCCAAGATAACAGACCTACACTTATTGCCCCTGAGAGACAGGAATTAATGCCTTTTAGCTCTATGTAAGTGGGCTATTTTAGGCTTATTCTGTGCTTGATGAGTAAAGTCACTGTCATAATCTTAAAATCTTTCCTTTTATTTCCTTTTGTGCGTTATCCAACTCAGACCACGTGTGCAGAACAGAGATTTAATTCCAGATCATCATTATTGCGCTAGAAACATTTATAATATTTGCTTATTTAAGACAGTTCTTTCTCAAATTGGTCCTCAGGGACTCTCAGATGGTCCTCATTTTTGCTCCAAGACAACCAAAATGCATAGGGATAGAGCGAAAATGTGGACTGTCTGTGGGCTGGTTTAAAAAACACTGATTTAATCATCATCTGAAATCTTTTTTTCATGTGTAGCCCATATTAAGAGCATTATGTGTTGATGTAGTTCTTGGAAAACCTGTGTGTTGACGACTGAAGTCGCCAATTCTTCTTTTCTTCACCAGGAACTCAGATGACGTTCCAAGTAAAAGTGCTGCAACCTGAAGACCATCCGGTGGATATGTATTACCTTATGGACCTGTCAGCTTCCATGATTGATGATCTAGAAAGGATTACACACCTGGGGTCTACTCTTTCCAAAGAAATGGCTAATCTCACCAGTAAATTTAGATTGGGATTTGGTTCTTTTGTGGAGAAGCCGGTTCTGCCCTACATCAAAACTACTCCAGAGGAGTTGGCCAATCCCTGCAGGTAAAACTGTCCTTACACAGCTCTAGGCTATTAAAGTAGCTGTGTTCCAAAAGCTAGGCTGCAGTTGAGAAAGGTGGGTCCTTGGTAGAACTGTACTATAAAGTCTTCTTGTGTGTATATGGCAGGTGAAAGATGAATTTGTCTGTAATTCAGTGCAAGCTATATGTGTTAAACTAAGAAATAACATACTATATATTTTACTACACATTTTAGTGGCAATTTAAACAATGTGCAGTAGTTGGTTTCATCTGCCTGGGCTTTTCTTGAACTTTCTTTGGGTCCAACATGTGCACAGAAGATTATGAGTGCCAGAAGATCATGAAGGATACTTCGGTAGCACCCTTGAAAATAGTCATGTAGCAGTCTACAAATGGAGCCCACCTAGACTGCGGCCTAGTTTTTGAAATGCAGCTACACAGTAAGAGATGTGGCCAGTCGTCTGTGAGATTGTAAGAGCTACCAGTGTGCATTGCCCTCTTTTTCATTAATGGTAGAAGTTTGTATATTGTCACTGTCAGAACAAAACCTTCTAGCATTTTCATTTTTTGCCATAATTTGAAAATACTAGCCACCCTATACAAGAATGTACCAAAAAAATGGTCCAAAATTACTTAGAATAAAACCTTTTTACATTAATTTACATGCAGAGTTAAGAATGTTTTTCCCTCTCCTGTAAACATTTTGGACAATGTTTTTTTTTTCTAGCTCTACAAGCCCACACCATTTTTTTTAAGTTCACTCCAACACCAGCTTTTAAGGATAGAGCAGTACTTCATTATTTAGTGTGTTTTAGAGAAGAGTCTTGACTAACCCCCTTAAACTCATCAACTCCTCACTTTAATAACTACATAGATTACATATTATTTTCTTAGTAGCTACCAGATACTACATGCTAGCTATTAAATGATAAATTTTAAGCGGCCAGTATCTTCAAAAATGTGCTGAAGTATGTGAATACTAAAGACAACATTCACTGTCCAGTCCATATAGGCCATATATGGAGGCTAAGCTGCAAAACAGCTAATTTTGAATTAGTTGTTTTTGTGACATCAGAAAAAAACACCTCATTTACATATCATCACTGTCCAAAGAAAAACATATATCTCCATTTTTGTCGATTTTTAGTTTTCTGCATCATTTGAACACAGTCGCTATCCTTTACATCATGTGAACATTTTATTATGAATGGACCAATTACAATGCTCTAAAATTACTCTGAATAAAAAATATCTTCACATTGACTTTTTTAAAAGTAACGTTTTTGCCCTTTCCTGTAACGTTCCCATTTTGACAATACTTCTTTTGCTTTGGACAGTGACGATAAGTACCCCTATACATCACAAATCAGTTTAATCCTGGCCATTCACATTGATGTTATAAGGGGTGTTTCAGCCAGGACTGCTTTTTAGAGAGACAATACAGAGCAGCCAATCAGAGCAGACGTCAGGTACAGATATTTGTGTTATAGGCACCAGATCAAAATTAGCTGGTTTAATTCTAGGAGATAAAGAAATGTTGGAAAATGTTCAGATGAATTATGACTGTTTTTGGTATATAAAACCACACAAATAACGCAGCTGGACCTCAGATAAAAAAAATACAAGACCTTTTTATGGTTTATAACTGAATAATAAACCTGCAGTTTGTGGGGAGAAAATGATTATATTCCACATAACATCTGAAAAGAATCTTTCCTTACCTTGGCTTTATTCTGTTATCCAGGAGTGTAGATTATGTTTGTCTACCTACATTTGGATACAGACATATCCTTCCCTTGACAAGCAGCATGGATGAGTTCAACGAGATTATTTCCAAGCAGCGTGTTTCAGCCAACAATGACATTCCGGAGTGCGGCTTTGATGCCATCATGCAGGCGGCAGTGTGTGGGGTGAGACACTTTTCAGGGAACTCTTTTCGGTCTCTTGCATTCGCATGAAACTGGACCCCTGCTTTTGTGAATGAAAGGCATTTGAACTCATGTGGATTAAATCCCCTAGGACAAGATTGGGTGGCGGAATGATTCCATGCGCTTGTTGGTGTTTGCCAGTGACGCAGACTCTCACTTTGGAATGGACAGCAAAATGGCCGGCATTGTGATCCCTAATGATGGCCAGTGTCACCTGGACAGCAACAATGAATATTCCATGGCAGGCCATTTGGTAAGGTGAAGTCTGCAAACTGTCACTTTGAAAAGTGTTTTGAATTCAATGCTGTAGAGATTCATTCTAAACATACTGCATTTACTAACCTTTTGTTTAAACATTTCCTGATATAGTTTTCCAGTTTATGATCTCTCTTCTGTCTTTAGGAGTACCCGACCTTGGGGCAACTTGTAGATAAGCTGGTGGAAAACAACATCCTCCTCATATTTGCAGTGACAGCCAATCAGAGACAGAACTATGAGGTGAGCTCAAGCCCACACGGGGACTTTCAGAGTCATGTTTATTCATTTCAGACCACAGTGACAGAAACAATAAAAGGTATGTGTGTGTGGAACCTGAGAATCCCCTCAGAGAAAAAGGTATTCATTTGTATCAGTTAGGACAGGATAGTGCGATTGTGTGACCTATTCAGTTCTGCTTAAGACATGCTCAAACACGACTCCTATCACACCATCTATGTTTACCAGGAACGAAACAGTGTTTTCTTTGCCAAGTTCTCTTTATAGCCTTGTGCTCTTTTTCTCTGTCTTCAACGTTCACCTCAGTAGAACATATTTTTTAGAGCTTTGACTTATAACTGCTAAACCGTTAAATAATAAAGTATGTAATAATGAAAGGGAGTTGGCTTCCTAGTCAGGCCTTAGGCCTGCTTAATTCATTCTTTGAGACATAAACAAAGTCATTCAGAGTAGTCTGATGTGAAATGGTGCGTTGTAGAGAAACCTGCCAACTCAGATTTCCTTCCAGGTGATAGGAACCAGAGGTTAGGATGTCTACAACACAAATATAGACATTTTAGTTACTATCCAAATCAATCAGTGAACCTACATATGTTTCCTAGGTTTTTGTTATGTTGATAATAGTAAAATAGTGGTATATCTGAAAAAAATGCCTTTCAACACCCTGTATGTACCTCTCCATTAGAAAAAAATAGAAAAGAAAAGTTTAAAATAGCACTACAAAATAATTTATTGTCAAAACTGAAAGTAGTAGCATTACTGAGTCAGGAGAAGAAAGAGCAACCTGTGTAACCATTTCATGTAATAGCTTTCTGTGAGGTAACTTTTTCAGGCATCTAGTTTCTATCACCATCACTGTGAACAATTACGACTTGGTAGGTTACTTAAGTTTCTCTTAAAAAAATTTGAAAAAATCAGTGGAATTCCTTGAAATTAGAGTCAAGCACTGTGTCCTCACTCAGGGTCTGAACTGCAAAGTCAATAATATCATCTAAGCTTGTTATGTCAGTTGTCATTGTCATTGTCACCAGTTACCAGTATTTTGTTTCGGTTGGGACCATTTTTTAAACTTACCTGTTTTTCTACTTCAAACAGAATTATGCAAATTTAATTCCTGGTGCTACAGTTGGGGTGCTGGAAAACGATTCCCGGAACATCCTTGAACTGATCATGACCGCTTATAAGGTACAATAGGTTTGTGTATTTGTCCATGTGCTTGTATGGGTGAAGCTGTTCAAAATAGTCAAATGAGTCACTATGTTACATAAATAAGGGTTGTGCAAAAAGGAAAATGTGGCCTGATCCGCTGAATAAGCTCACCTGAAGTAAGTGAGTGTGAGTGCTTTTGTTAAGGGGATCTGAACTTTGTACACTGTTTTTTGACTTTCATCCCTCTCCTCTGCTGCTCTTTTACTCTGCATCGCAATGTTCGTTTAACACGTCTACACTTGTCCTTTTGGACCGTTTGATCTTTCCATCTCTGTTCCTCCACCCCCACTCCCTCTTTCCTCTGGCAGTACTCTCTAATAACTTGCTTCATCTGAAGCCTCCGGAACTTAGCTGCTGTGCACAGGTCCCACCTCTCTGAGGTGTGTTATTATTTTAAAAATGAGAGCTAAGTGAGACTGTAGCTAAGTTATAGCTCTTTCCTATTAAGGATAATTTAGGAATATTGAGTATGGGCTGAATGAAGGGCTTCTCTTCCTGTAAATCACTGTGAATAAGTGCAGCTGCAGGCTAATTATTCACTTATTAATCTGAAAAAATATTTATTATTCAATAACTAATATAAATTATTTAAGAACTACTATGAAACTAATATGTAAATTTTGTAGTTATGAGTAAGGACTCAATCTTTCTATGCTTTGCCTACAAATATGTTCTTTCTTAACCTGGCAGTATAACTCAAATGACGAAAAACTAAATGAAATAAAACTACCATCAAACATATTGTTGTTAATATACTTCACTGAAAAATGAAATTTACATGATTTTCCACTTATCCCAGATGCAGTCAATCAGCCAACACGTTTGGTTTCCAAATGCTTCTTTAGTTTAGAACAGAGAGCTGCTAGACTAATGGTGCCAAGAAACACTGGAAGTCAATAGTCACCCTAACTGTTACATGCCAAAATCTTCATATATTTGCTTCAAATTACATTAATTGGCTACATAAACTTATTATAAACAACTGTGAAGAAAATTGGCATGGGTAGACCCTATTTACACATTTACACTAAAACTGGATCTACATTATAATCTACTTAACATCCTGCTTGGTGTGTTGTAAATCAGGTATATAGTGTTAGCACAGTAATACACAAGGCTTACTTACTGTAAGACAGTTAGAAGTTGCATGTCAAATAATGACAAAGATTCAAACATATGGTTTAAACATATAGTTGAGGCTCCTTTGTGCAGGAAACGTAGTCCTAAAGTTCGTAATTGGACATTGTACTAATTTTCTGAGTACACTAGCTTCTCTTACCCTACGGTGTGTCTGTGTTTTGAATTAGACTCTTAGCCCTGTCTTTGGTCGTCTTGCGCGTAATGATACCAAATTGTAGAATTGCCCCTTCTTTTAGCTATTTTTATAGTTCATAGTAAGCCATGTTGTGTTCTAAACCACATTTTTAATAATTTGGTTGAAATATACTGCTGGCCTTAGCAACTGTTGCAAGGTAAGACAAACTTTATAGAATGTTGACAAAAATCCCATTCGGCCTAGTAAACATAAATTTGGGTTTAGATTCACTAGATAGTTTAGATAATATTGAGTTTACAATTTAAACTGCAATGCAACCGAGCTGGACTGTGTACTTAACATTGCTAGCACCAGCTTGGTTACACAACAAAAAAAAAAACTATGCCTGATCTACACTAATAATGTGACTTGTCACAAATAATATTCAATTAAAATTTACCTAATATTAAATGAATAAAATAAACATTTGACAAAAAACTGAGCTGTGCGTTACAATTTCTCATTAAATTGACCATGGCCTGTAAAGCATTTCTAACCTCGCAACATTTTCTGTGAAAGAACGCATTGTGGGTGGAGCATGTCATTTGAAGTGCGAGCCAATCTATGGGCCCTTGTAGTTTAAGGGGTTTAAGGGCTAACTGTTTAGTTAAACTTACAGCTAGTTTGTTCACACGCTACAGTATTATCAAAGTTTCTTAGCATTTCTTGCACCCGTTTGAATGTGCACAGCAATACAGGGACTTCAGTGCAAACTGGTTGTGCTATTCTTAGATTATAGAAGTGTGTAATATAACTCTGGGCCTGCTGGTGAGCCCTGGCCATTTAAGGGGTTTAAGTTTGGTCAGAAATTGAAAAGTGTGCAAAGATTACCATATGGCCAAACCACAGAGAATTTCTTTTCTTTGTGTATTTTCCTTTTCACCTATAACTCTCTAGTTGATGTCAGGAGGAAGAGAGAGGATTTATTTAGGTTAATTTTAGGTTGTAGGCTTGCACATTTGCAGCTTTCTATGTGAGCCATCTTCATTCTCGGTTTAGTAATTGAAAGTCCTGGGAAAGAACACAGAAAAGGTCTTTCCTGCTGTTCCTGTTTGTGGCATTTTAAAGAGAGGAACTGTGTGAGAGAAGTCAGGTAGTGGTATCACCTCAACTCCTCTTTCCCTTTAGGGGAAGAGAGGAGCACATGTCTGTCATTTCCCTGTAATAAATCATGAAACTGCACGCATTACCTGAAAAAGGGCAGACAGTGCAGGCAGTTAGACATTTTCTGGCATTAGATTTGTCAATAGTCAGTCAGATTCATTGGAACTGGATTCATAGGTGAAGTTGTTTTGTGTACATATAGAATTGAGAAATTAAGCTTGGTTTCTCAGACTCACCTTGTATTTCAGTTCAGGCACTGTGCACTGTACTCTTAAGCTGCACTCACAAGGACATTTTAATGAATGTCAAAAATGCATCTCTTGCTGTAGATTTTGGGGAGGACAGTGTGTTGATAGACAACAGACATCAGTGCATGACTGATGTCTGTTACGCTCCATTACAATTACACTCCGCTATCTGTTGAAAAAGTTCAACAGAGTTGATCTGTTAATGGGGTGTACTCAGTTGCACCCATGTGGCCCTGAATAGGGGACGGTGTGGGGCAGGGCTTTAGTCAGTCACTTTAGGGTTGAATATTGGAGTAAGAGAAACAAATCGCTGCTGTCAGCTCACATTCATATGTAATATAATAGGACAGTGACTCATGTATGGCTTTTTTGTTTCATTTTATAGAAAAAACAGTTTTTGAATGTGTTTCCTGCTCATATCAATCTCCACTCACAAACACACCCACACTGTACCATATCTATAAATGTTTTTTACAGATACTAAAATGTCTGTGCTAGATATTTCACTATGCAGCGCATGAATTTTAAACAACAATGACAATACCTCATTTTCATCAAGTAGTGTCTGCACAAACACTTGTCAATTTTACATTAAAAGAGGATAAAGGAGGAAACATCTCACATTTGTACAGTGTAGTCCTACATTGGCTGCTTCTTCTGATGTCCTCTCCTTTGCTGTGCTTCACTTTGTGACAGCTGGCAGCCACTGAGTGCAAGCAGTCCATGGACTGAGTGCAAACAGTCCTTATTTCATTTCCTACTGTGAACAGGCTACATGTATTAAAAAGAGCTTGTACACCACAGCATCAGAATGTAAGAGCAGGGTAGTGAGATCTAGAACCAGCTTTACTAACAGTTTTGCACCATTGCAAACCCTGTTTTGGTGCTGAAAAGTGGCTGTTGCGATTCACTCAAAAGGGGCAACGGCTCTTTAGTGCCTATGATAAGACCAAAGAGTGACCACTGCTCTTTTGTACCTTTGCCTTATTTATAAGAGTTTCCATCTGAAATCACAAAATACTAGGAGGATTGTTTTTTCTTTTTCCATGGTCTTTTGATGTTTTGAGTACCTCTCTCACATTACACCAAATAAACACTCTTGCACTTGATATGCTATTGTGGTTTTGCTATCCTTTTTTGTAAATAACTCACAGTCCTTGCAGGAGCATGTCTACCTTCACCAAAAAGCAAGGTGTGACAAAGTCAAAATAATTAATCAGTGTCTCAGTTTTTCATAATACTAGTTTCATAATAGTTTTTTGGTGATAATAGTTTCATTTCATAATAGTTTTTCATAATTTTTATAATCAAAATAATATCTTGTTATCTCAAAATAATGACGTATTATGTTGAAATACTCATGCACTTTCTCAAAGAGCAATAAGTTGTTCTTTAGTTATTAGGCTATTTTGCTATTATTGTATAGTCATTGAGAAGTTATATGGTTAATTTGACCTACTAAATCAAAATCTCAAGAAAGTAAGTCATTATTTGTACCTGATGTGTTACAGTTTGAAGTAGAATCAGAATCAGTGTCCCAAACTATGCACTTCTATACTTTACATACTACACTAATAAATGCGCTTCAATGGTGGTGCACTAGTTTTTAAAAACTATTTAGTGCTGTAGTTTGTGATCCAGCTTTTTCTCCTACCTGGTGGAAGTGGGCTTCCATCCAAAAAGCATGAAGTTACATGCTAAATATGTGCTTATATGCTAATTAAACATATGCTAATTAAGAAGTTGCGCCTGTGTCAAATTGCATTGAGGTTCTTAGTAGATAAGCTGCTAAATTAGCCACCCCCACAGGTGCCAGTTGTTGGTAGACTGACAGTAATTGTAGCCTCATTTAGTAAATCTGTCCTCTAATGTGTCTGGCATGTTTGTTTGGTAGGAGCTGAGGTCTGAGATTGAAATGGAAGTCTTGGGTGACACTGAACATCTCCAGATTTCCTTCACCGCTCTTTGTCAGGATGGGGCAGTGGACCAAGGGATGAAACGCTGCACCAATGTCAAAGTTGGAGACATGGCAAGTTTTCTAACACTTTTCATATCATACATCTGAGGTGAGGTTTTCTCTCAGAAATGCTACCTGTTTTCTCTGAATACTAATTTGGTATGACAAAGTTCTGTAATGTTATATCATCATTGGCTATCAGTGGCACAAAGTAAAAACATTGTTGATTCTGGGGTTGCGTTTAATATTTTAGTGCCAAGTAAAGAAAAGATATTTAATCTACTATTTTCCTTTACTTACATAAATCCTTAATGCTGTTGTATTTTGATATGTAAAGCTAATTATGTAAATATAATTTAACAAGGAAAGTTGTAGATTTGTATTGTTTGATTGTGAGCAAAAAGGAATATACTTAACATTTCAGTCACATTTTTCATTATTCTGATGAAACAAATGGATAATATGGCCTTAGTAATGTGAAATCTAATCTGAATGTATGCGCACACTCACACAACACATCCAACAATGAAAGCAGCCTTTTGCTTCTTTTAAATAGTGATAGAAAACATGGTAGCAAGATCCAAGTTCCACATTGTACTACATTAGTACATTAACATGCACACGCATGTTCCAGCTGTTGATGGTATGTTAATGTTACATATGATAGTTTAAAAGGCAGATTTAAGCAAACAGTTTTGTATTGGAACCGCTGTTTCATGTGCTACGAATGGGCAAAAGTTTTGTGGGTATTCAAATACAAAGACCATCTCTAGCTGGGATGAACAGTGTTTGTGTGAAAGTGACGGAAATTATGCTTCTCTTAGGTGGCCTTTAACGTGACGGTTGAGCTGGGTAGCTGTTTGGATGGCCCGCGGCACTTTTCCCTGCGGCCAGTTGGCTTCCAGGACACACTAGAGGTGGAGCTGGAGTCGCTGTGTGCGTGTGACTGCCACCGGACCACTGAACCAAACAGCACACATTGTAGTGATAGACATGGGGCATTGGACTGTGGCTTGTGTGTGTGTGACCCTGGCTTCATGGGACCCAACTGTGAGTGTGCAGAAAGGGAAGGCCAAATCTCTGATTGCAGGTGAGAAAGTGGAAAAACTTTTGCAGATTTCTTTGAAAAAAACAAAGCGAGTCTCCAGAAAATAATAGAAGCTGTAATTAAAGCAAAGAATGGACTCATTAATAACTCACAAATTGAAATTATATTTAAATGAAGTTGAACCTTCGGTGTAATTTTATGTTATATTTGTTCCCTGCTGTTTCACTAATAATGAACAGGAATATCTTCTACTTAATGGCTGTTTTGACTGGAAGTTCAGTAAATGAAAGGTGGTCTCTGACTCTTGCACACTACTATGCATTCACATAATGCTTGTCTGATCCATTGTGTGTGTGTTTGTGTGTGTGTGTGTGTGTGTGTCTGTGTGTGTGTGTCTGTGCGTGTGACTTTTTACAGGGTGGAGGAGGGAGCAGAGATGTGCAGTGGGCAGGGCGAATGCTTTTGTGGGCAGTGCTTGTGCCACCAATCTAGTTTTGGACGTGTGTATGGAAAATACTGTGAGTGTGACGACTTCTCCTGCCTCAGATTCCGAGGGAAGCTGTGTGGAGGTGAGAGATTAAAGCAAGGCTAAAGAATGAACATAAGGAGAGCTTGATATCACAGAAAACACAGACGTTGCTGACTATAGGGAGGAGGGTATTTGACCTCTTTCTTCAGGGAGCATTAATGAAACAATAACATCCTGCTAATTATATGTCATCCTGACTGAAGAACCCCTACACTAATGTGTAATGGAAGGAGTGACACCAGTGTCAGTAGCCCTGCAAAGCAATGTAAATAGAGTCTAATAGCAAGGAAATTGCAGTGCAGGGGATAGGCATACTGAATTGGTTTGTTTACACTAATGACAATGTGAATTTGGCAGAAAGGGAGAGACAGATCTTATGTTAAATTAAAGAACATAACAATAGCACAACTCAGTATAAGTTGTGCTTATACACTATAAGGTGGTAGTACATTGTAGTGATGCTTTAATAACATTTTTTCAGACAGAGTACGACTGTGAGTACATGTTTTTAGTACTTGCCAATACAGAGACAGATACATACTCAGTAACCTACTTGTAATTAAGTAGCAATTAGTGTAAATGAGTGCAATATATCTTAACAGTTAAATTATTGAAATGTAGCTGATTTTAAATGACGTTTAAGCTAGCTATGTTACATTTGTTACCTTGGATCGAGTAGCATTGCAGCGGAGAACGGAGAAGCGGGCCTTGTTCCACTTCAGAAAAGTGCTTCTGTACAGCTGGAAATAAAGTATGTTTTATAGTTTTGATCTCTTTTAAGAACAGTCTCTGTAGCACAGTGACAACAGGAACCGTGTCCAAGGCTAATCCAAGGAGCTCATGTTTTGAGTTTTACGTATTGTTGGAGTCTTTTGATTGGCTGGTTGACCTGTAGTTGAATGTCCTCTAAAGCCAGACATACACTATGCGATTTTTAGAAATTTTGTTCTTTGGAGACAACTCACTGTACATTTGAATAGATCATCACATACAGACAAAGCCTATGATTTATGCTCAGAATATATGAAAACACTCTGTCCAAACTTGGTGAAATGACAGCTCTGTCTACGGACAATTTCTAATAAAGCTGCTTAAAAACAACACACTGTGCGCCCGAGTACTGGGCAAACACATTGAGAAACTGTGCTACAGCAGCTTTGATAAATTATGCTGCACTGTGCACTGAAACTAAAACCAGTCGTTGATGCATATGGGCCAAACAGTATGGTCATTTTACAAAGAAAAAAACACCATATTAATGTTTATACCTTGCAGTTCTGTTCAGTAAAACAAAGTAATGGACTTCAGTATCACAAATGTCTGCTTTTTTACCTCTGTTTTGCTAGCCTACGTGTCTCCACTCATACTGGGGAAGTGGTTTGATTGTGTTTGTTTGTGTTTAAAAATGGGCTAAAATCGTACGGTGAATTCCTTGTGGGAATTTACCAAGGCAAAAATGTTTCAAGTGACCAATGATGTTGTGTCTGAGCATTACGACATCAGCAACACTTCACTGTATGAGCTGACCCTCATTCACTGCTAGCTTGAGTCATTTTTTCATTAGCATGACAGCATACGCTAGGCTTACATCACCTATCAGATATCCGGTGGTATCGGATGTTGGTATCAGTGAAATTTTATGAGTACGAGTGTGAGTAACTGAGCACAAGTTTCAGTATTAATGCATCCCTAGTATATTGTAATATTTAGTTTGGGCACAAAACTGTAAATAATCTTTTGATAAATAACAGAATGGTGTGTTTTTGCCAAAAGTCTATGTTTTGTTTGGTGTCTGAAATCTGACGCTGTGGCTCGAGGAAGACCTACAGTGTACAGAGTACCATAGGTGGCTTTTTGTTCAGGTATGATCTGCCTGCCGAGTGAAATATCACAGATGATGATTTGCATTTCTAGAACCGTCTGATCTATGCTAGAGACAATAAATGTATTAATGTAGGATATGATATCACTCAACATGTTCACATTTGGGAATGATAAGCCGCTTTTACGCTGCATGATACCAGCTCGACTCGACTGCTCGACTTTTTTGGTTTTCTACTAGGCAAATTTGGTACCTGGTACCAAGTACTATTTTTGGTACCACCTCCATCAAGGTTCCAAGTGAACTGAGCCGCTACCAAAAGGTGATGTAAAAATGCTGCATACTACTGTTTGGTCAGAGTGGAATCTGCCCTGGAAAATGAAGTAGCTGGTACCAAAAGCGAGTCAAGTTGAGCCGAGTCGAGTTGAGCTGATACTATGCAGTGGAAAAGTGGCTTTAATGTCTTGACATGGTTTGCATGAAATAAGTAAAACAGGCTCAGGCCTAATATATGTTTATCAAGTTTGAAACAATGTCAGTAAATAGGATGGCACATTCTTTCTAACTTGTTCACACCTACCACCGACCCAGTTCTATGCGCTGACATGGAGCTCCTGGCGCTTACCTGAGTTTTAAACGTTCAGTCTCTTCTCTCTGTATTAACTTGGAGCCTGGCACTTGAATCACTGTGAAGCTACCACCTTCAACTGCCAGCACAAATGTAAACAGACAGGTTAAGCCTATAACAGCTGGTTCAATCAACAAATTGTTTGATGAGTAATTGGTGGCTAATGTTATCAGTGACTCAGACCTTGAGGAGGTGCTCGGAGCTCCAGGTGACAGGTGTGAATGAATCAGTGAGATGCCTCTGTCATGTAGAGGCATTTAAGATTGACTTTGTTCCAGGAAAGCAGGGTTTTCAAAACTGCCTATAGCAATAGTAAGCTGTTTAAGTTGCACAGCATGTGAATCTGTGTGTTTTGTGTGCATGTGTGGTCAGGTAATGGCGTGTGTGACTGTGGTGAGTGTGTGTGTCACAGTGGTTGGACAGGCGAGTATTGCAACTGCAGCACTAGCACACGGGCGTGTGAATCCGCAGATGGGTCAGTCTGCAGTGGACGTGGAAAGTGTGTGTGTGGGAAAGTGTGAGTGTTCCGTTCCTGGAGCTTCAGGGGACAAGTGCGAGAAGTGCCCAACCTGTGGAGATACCTGTAGCAGAACCAGGTACAGACACATCACAGTCTTTTGCTCTCTGACATGCATAATATCACAGAAACAAAGTAGGGTTGTCATGATTACTAGATTTAAAAAAGTAAATAATTAAAATATAAAATTCTCAGTAAATTTGTTTAGTATTTAATTTGCAATGCTAATGATAAACAGGGTGTCTGCAGATCATAATAAAGCTGTGTTTAGCAGTCTGAAGATTCTGCACAAAAAGGGAGCTATTAGCACAGAAACACAAATTGCTGTTGTCAGAACAAAACCTTGTATCTCCAAAAATGATAACTTTACAGGCGAAACAAGAAACATACTCTACTGTCAATGTAAGCCAATGGAACCAGAAGTAATTGTGGGCCATTCCTTTTGCTCCATTTATCAGCAAATTTACATACAATGTAAAGGGCAACAGGTATTTTCAAATTATGCCAAAAACTGAAAAACGACAAAAATGGAGATAAGACGTTTTGTTCCAACAGCAGCAAAATGATTTTTGTACAACATTGAAAGTGAGGAAACCAACACCTCAAAAATGCATGTATGTTTGGAATTACACATTTCATAGTGGTGGTCCTTAGGCTGTAAGTATGGGTTTCTATGGCTGTGACAAATTCTTGAAATTACTTGCTCAAAGCAGCATTATGAATTAAAAAGCATTGCTTTGAAAGGTTTTCCTTCATCTCTTTTTCAGTAAAGTATTTTTAGGTCTTTAGTCTGCATAGTATATTACTGTGCAGTTAAGCCCATTTAGATAGTAGATTACTTAATTATTAGTATAATCAATAGTAAAAGCTCTAAAACAAAGCTCAGATACGGTACGATAGATTTTTATAGATTTGTGTGTGTGTGTGTGTGTGTTTGTTTTTGTGTATATGTTTTCATACATTTTTCAGTTTTTCAGAAAACCAGAGAAAAACAGGAGTAATTCACAAAATGATCCTAATGAAGAGTGCCGCTTGTGTTAAGATTTTGGTTAGGTTTATGGTTTATGGCTTAGAAAATTCTTATTACACTTAGTTACACAGGTGTAATATACACAGCATTTGTGTGATCCCGCATCCTGATGCTGTGAAAGCAAACCTGTGAGTGTATATGTGTTTGTATTTGTATGTCTCTAGTATGTTGTAGAACATTGTATGTTCTTGTTGCCTAGTTCATTTCCACATATAAAGCCAGGGCTAAGCATGTCACATGTTTTCAGTATCTTGTTTCCTCCTTTTAAAAGCCCTGTCACCCTGTCTGCCATTCAGCTCCCTGATGAAGAGATAGAGAGAGCAAGAATGGAAAAAGGACTTAGAAAAGTGTCCAGACGTTTCTCCTTACAGTGAAAATAAAACCAGCCTTTCTCTTGAGAGGAATCCTCTGAAGAGCTGACATGCTTTGTGTGTGTGTGCCCCAAAGGTCTTGTGTGGAGTGCTACCTGAAAACTGATGAATTCTTAGAAGAGTGTGTCCATAAGTGTAACACTATTCATACCACTGTCAGCAACTCTACAGGTCAGTGTAAACTCTCTTTTTTTCCCTTCGACATGGTTGTGAGAGAACACGGTTTTTGGAAATGTTTATGGCACTATAATGCATGGTTATTACATACATTACATACACACCTCTAACCTACACCTAGTCAATCAGCACTTGTAGAAGGTAAGTGGTTGGTTTCGTAAGGATAAAGGCACATACAGTAGTATGAAAAAGTTTGATTATGCCCATTCATTTTCTAAGTGAAAATCAAACATCCTCTAAAGGGAACAAACAAGAAACTTAAAACTGGCAAATATTAGTGCAGAATTTCTGTCTGTTTGCTGATTTAAAAAAAATTATATGATTAAATTCAGCAAATAGATTTTAGTAGTAATTGTGGATTAAAAGTGCAGAAGTGTGTTCTCTGTAAAGATGTGTTAACTTTTCACTTGGAAAATCAACAAAACATATCACCGGGGTGCCCAAACTTTTGCATACGAATGTATGTCTTACTAAATGGGTAGTTTTTTGACTGCTGGTCCTCCTGCCACTTCTACTCGCTAGGTGCTAGGTTTAGAGTACTCATTTCCCTCTTGGATGCAGAAGTAAGGGTCTGCTTTGAAATGTATTGACCCTTGGTGTTAAGACATTGTAAAGCTAAAACATGAAAAGAATAATGCCCACCTTGCTCATTTGATTTTTGTCTCTTGGCTGATCAGTATTCTAACACCATGGTTCTGCTGCTTCATCCAACCAGTAACTCTGATCCTCCAGTACCATCTACATTGCTAGAAGTTCCCAGTTGCCTGTATTGTTTTGTTCAGCGGATTTATGTTTTTTGTTAAAATAGGCACAATCAGGCAGGCTTACCTTGGTGCTGGGATAAAACTAGTACTGTTTCTAACATGACAAATAAGCCCCAGACATGTAGCACATTAAAGTCAACCTGAAATCTATGAAAACCTGAAAAACGATTCTAACCATTAAAATATTAGCATGTTGCTCTCTCCCGTCATCACCGTCATCATCCTGGCTGCACGAACCTGTGAGCAGATGACCTCCTTTCTTCTCCTCACCTGTCAGCAGGTGAAGGAGCGATGTGCACAGACACACATGCACACAGTCCATCTTTAGCTCAAATGTTAAGTAGTTACACTCGTACACTGATTTATTTAACCCGACTTCTTTTTTTCCTGAAGTCTTTTGCTTTTGCAGTGAAAGTGTAAGAAAACCGAGAGCAACACAGATGCTTACAGGCTAGCCTGCTAACTGGTAATACACATCAAAATATAGTAGTCCTTAATTTTTTGACAGAATCTGGTTATTTTTATGTATTTTTTCTTTGTTTTTTTTCATAAAACAGACAGATTCTGCTGACCATCAGAGTGAGACTCGTGTTTGTTCCGAAACACTCGCTTTACATCCTGAAGAATAAAATCATATCCCACTCACATTATTTCCCACCTGAATAGCCTGTTTCCCTCAGAAATACATCACGTTAAGGAAGTAACATGCATTCTAATTTCTGATTCATGTTGACTGGAACCCTGCAGGGGCATTTTTTATACCTAATGACATGGCCCAATACTCATAAAGGCCTGAAGTTATGGAAAAGGCAGTTTTTCCCTTCTATCTCCTTTTTGAATTCTGATGAGACTGTACACAGGTTTGGTGATTATTGTACAGTCACAGAGATGTTCTAAGGCTGCCAGTATCAGAAGGAGTAGATGCCAGTGAAAACTGAATGTTACTGTGAATACGTTAAGCCCCTGGCAATCTATGCATGGACAAGAAACTACATGTTTTTCTGACAAACAGGAATTCCACTGAGCCTGCAGGTGTCAAAGGACCAAGAAAGCTTTGTTTTCGTATTCTAGATATACTCTTCCAATACATTTGTTTCAATTGGAGGCAGAGGGAAAATGTGAATTTGTGGGGGAGTAGCTCTAGCACAGAATTTATGGCCCAGTCACCTGAATTGTCAGGTGGAAGGCTGGCAACACTAACTTGAATACAGACATTTCTTGTTTCTTGGTAGAGTGCTGGTACACTAGGAATATAGCTTACTCTTGGACCTTTGAACAAATTTAGGGCAGCGGGTGTCAGTAAAGTAGAAGGAGATAAAAGTTTTAAAACATTGTGAGGATTACACTAGGATTTCACTTTCCTTTCAGGACATACTTGCGCTAAGTATTCAGTAAAATGGTAGTCAGTAAAACAGTTCTTTTTTAACTACTGTGAGTTGTAGAGTTTTGGTAGTATGAGTCACAGGTCCTGTGCCATGAAGAGACTTCAAAGAGGCAGGATAGTCAGAGGGGTGACTGAAGCAGAAGGGGAACTCCAAAGATTTCAATTTTCATTGGTGAAATTCCATATAGAACCAGAACTATGAATCCAGAGTTCTGTAATCAGAAAATGCTCAGGGTTCCATGCACAGTAGGTTATAGCAAGTCTTTACAACACACTTAGGCTTAGAATGAATGGCTGCATTGAAAGGTACAAGTGACCAAATCTGATTTATGTGGTCACACTGTATTTGTATGTTCCCTTATATCAACTGGTCAAGCTAAGTGTCCAGAGATCTGATTTGAATCAGATTTAAAGCAGCATACAAGTGTGGCTTCAATCTCATTGGAAAAAGACAGGTTTTATGTAAATGTCTGATTGTCAGTCTGCTGAAAATCTTTCCGGTTATGCCAAAAAATCAGATTTGAGCTGCTGCCTGAAAAGGTCTTTGGGATAAAATGGGTCTATATGGATTGTGTGATTCACCTGGTAATCAGGAATAGTTTGGATAACAGTCCAGTAAAATCATGTGTTGGTTGGAACGGATGAAGGACATTATTGAGAGCATTTGAATATAAACAACAAATCATATTCCCTACTGAAACTGAATTGCATCCATATATCCATGTGGATTGCTGTTAGAAATCAGAATAGAGATTAGTTGGTTTGCACTTTAACTATCTTTGCAAAGTTTCCATATATCTATGTAGTTGTTTCCCTCATTCACACATACATACACACACACACACGCATCCCACCCACAGACACCGTCCCTTTAGATTAGCCTCTTGACACTCTACAAAGACATACATGCCACTTAGCCTGTCCTCCAGACAAGGCTATTGTTGATCTTTATTGAGAGAACAGGACCCTCACGTCTCTTGGCAGGGACACAGCCATTATAGTTCTCAGTCGGTGAGGGCAGTGAGGTGTATCTGAGACTACGTCTTTAGCCTCCAGCTGAGAGATTCAATAGAAAGACACAAAGCAGCATCGTCTTTTGATGAGGACATCACTGAAAGTCTAAAAAGACGAGAGCTGTATCTTCTTACCACAAAAAAAGAAAAAAGTGATTGTTCCATTTTGCGCAGTGTAATATCACACGTATATGATTTGTAAGCAGGAGAAGGTAACAGTGTTCGGTTTCATTCTTGCTTGATGGAGTCTGGAGGCTGTCATGGATCCTTAATCAGGTCAAAGTAACATCACGAGTGACATAAAGAATATTTTTTCATCACATCCTGGCATCCTTGTTCAACTCACCACTGCTGGAATTGAGATGAGGCATTAGTTGGTTTAAAGCACATGTGCTGTCTGTTTTCATTGTCTTACCATATTTGCACATTTTCTCTGAATTATTCTCTGTAGTTCTTTCAGCAATTTTTTTTTCTTTTTTTCTACTTCTGTAATTTTCAGATTTGTTTCATGCCTGTAAAATTGGATGTAAAAGTTTGGGCCAAATTACATATGTTGTTGATTTTTGATGTGAAAAGAAGTAAACACAACCTCTGCAGCAAACTGTTTTAGAAAGAAGACACTTTTCAGCAAATGTTAATACGCAGTCACTTTGTGTTTGATTTACTTAAAATGTAGGAAAAAAATGAAATAACAGGCAATGGGAAAAGTTTGGACACTCTACTAAGTCATGGCTTAGTAACATCCTCTTTGGCATATGTCACAGCTTGCAAACACTTTTTTGTAGCCAGCTAGGGGTCTTCCTCTTGGTTCAGAAATTTATACACACTTTTCCTTGCAGAATGCTTCTAGTTCTGTGATAGTCTTGGGCTGTATTGCATGGACAGCATGTTTACCCATAAGATCTACCCACAGATTTTCAATGACATTCAAGTTAAGGTACTGTGAGGGTTCCAAAGCTTCAGCTCACATTTTTGGAGTAGCTCATGATGGTTTTTGGGGTATGTTTTGGATTGTTGTCCTGCTATAGAAGCACAACTCCTAACTTCAGTTACTTGACTGATGGTACTATCCCATACAGTGTTTTCTTCCTATGCTACTGGCTGCCAGACAAGCCCAAAGCATAAAAAGTTTATCCCTATGCTCTATTCTATTCTGTTCTATTCATCAAATGCTGCTCATTTTTTTCTCCCAACATACCTTTGGTGACCGTGGCCAAGGGGTTCCATTTTGACCATATCAGTTTGCCAAAATGCCTCTGGTTTATCTAGATGTTGTTTTGCATACTTTACATGTTGACTTTTGTGATGAGGTTGCAGGTAAAGTTTCCTTCCAATCACTCTACCATGCAGATCATGTTAGTACAAGCAACGCTACACAGTAGAATGGTGCTCAGCTACTCCTCTGTCAGCTAAACTTTTCTGCGGGCCCTTTGCTGTCAAATTAGGGTATTGCTTTGCCTTTTTGACCAGCATACCGACAGTTCTATCTAAAAGTGGTCCAGATCTTGGTTTGACTTCTACAATTTCATCTAACTGCCATTTCTTAATGACATTTCAGTGGAAATTGCAGGCTAGAAGATCTTTTTATATCCTTCCCTTTCTTTGTAGGCATCACCTGTGCATTTGCAGAAAAATGGGGAGCACTAGGAGAATACACAGCGTTTATAACATTGTAAAGATCACACTAGGGCTTCACTAGGGCATACTTGGACCAAGGACATCCAGGACATGAAATGGTTTTGTAACCACTGACGTTCTTTAATAATTGTGACTTAGTGACTGGAGGGGCAGTAAGGTGGTAGTTTTATAATGAATAACTGTGAGTTGTAAGGGCTTAGTAGAGTGCGTCACAGATCCTGTGCCAAGAGAGATTCCATCGAGGCAAGATAATCAGAGGGGCGACGAAAGCATAAAGGGAACTGATTGATTGGGGGTTGATTTTCAGTTGTGAAATTCCCGATGGTTCCATAACCTGAGTACTGGAATCAGAAAATGCTCAGGGTTGCATGCGTAGTAGGCTATAGCAAGTCTTAACAATGCACTTATCTAACAAAACACATCCACTTGCACTTTCTGTTGCTGCATTCCGTCACGCTGGACCTCCCTGCTCTTTGCTGGTGGACGTTTCTATATCGTTATGGAAATGAAGGAACCGTACAGAACATACCTGGGAATGATATGCTGTTAGTTGTTGCACAGAAGCTTGCAATGAGACTACAATACTTATGTTATGTGACTAAAACACTTAGGAGGCTAAAAGACCTATTATTTTATAAGTGCTGAGTGCATCAGTCATCCATACAAGTTAGAAAGTTAGCTCACTCTGTCTCACTAGAGAGCTAGCTACCTTAGCAAGTAACCTACATGCTCTATATGAGGTAAATTTTCTGTTCCTTCCCACTCCAACCATGTACACTACATCCAAACTAATGTCTACCAGTCTACCATTGCCTGATTGGTTACATGCAATGCAATGACCACACTATTTTGCATCAAGTTGAAAACTGCTGAACCACACAATGAAGCAGAGCACTCTGTTGAAATGAATAGGATGCTGCGAGGGGAAGTTGAATGTGGACTGAATGTCCACCCTGCAAGGTACAAGTGACCAAATACGATTTGTATGGTCAGGCCCTTTGCTCCTGCGTCAACATTGGTTATAATAATAACCTTGCAAGCATGCATAGCTGTTTATGGCAGGGCAGGCAAAAGTATAAGTTTCTTGTTGACATACAGAAGCATTGTGCTCCGAATAGCAATCAATCAGTAAATAAATAAATAAATAAATCTGATCTGACTGGTCAAACTGAGTATTTAGAGATTTGATTTAAATTAGATTTAAAACAAACTTTTGAATATTGCAAATTGCTATTTCATTTTTTTCTATCTTTTAAGTCAATCAAACATGAAGTAAACATGCATTTATATTTGCAGAAAATGTTATTTAAAAAATAGTGTGCTGCAGAGCTTCTTTTCACTTTAAAAAACAAAATATGTAATTTAGCCAGGTGCCCAAACTGTTGCATGCAGCTCTCTGTATAGATTAAACCCACAGATTAAAGCTGTGTTTTCTCTTGTCAGATTTTGAAGAGAGTCATGCCGTTTTTTGCACTCTCCGGAGCGAGAATGAATGTCTGATCTCCTTTGCTTTGGCGACCAGTGATAAGGGCAACACTGTCTACAAGCCCTGGCTTGGTAAGAGAACCCTCACCCCCATTTACAAACCCCACCATGCAATGGTGTAGTCAAACCTGAAGTAGTGGGTATACTCTGACTAGCGAGGACACTTCGCTATCTACATACATAACCTACCTATAATCCATTAGTGATATATGTTATAAGTTCATTTGAAATAAATCAAGTATTTTTGCCTTAATTTCTTATGGAGCTAGAAAGTGTTTTTCTACAGATCTTTACAGATCTTTGTATAACAATACACAAACTTAGATTCTGAGATCAAGATTTGATTCAAGTTTTGATGCTTTATGTGTTAAGCCCTTACATGGCCTCCGATGGGCCCAAAGTTTTATTACACACTTCTATAACCTACAAATAGCTTAACCAGTTTACATTGAAGTTCCTGTAATTACTGAGTAATAAGTCTGGGATTTGCAGGGGTTAAAATGTCTTGATAGCTCTGATTATATACTACACAGATTGGCTTGGCTCAAAAAAAAAATTTCCAAACTTTTTCAATGCCTTGTAACAAAATATGCTGGAAAATTACACCAACTAAATTACTCAAATCTCTAGTTTTGATAACTGGTGATTGACAGTAGATTCCATGAAGATGGCAAATGAGCAGCCCTCAGAAGAGATCAAGAGCTGTATTGGTGATACAGTTTAAATGTTGATATACTGTTTCAAATGTGCATATTCTGTATTGAAATTGCTATACCGTTAGAGCTTGGATTATAGCAAACAACTATGTAGCAAAAAGCTGGGCAATGGCAAAACACTTTTATTTTGTAATGCAGAATCATTCCTCACAGTTATTCCTAATTTGTAATACCCATGCATACCCATAACTCTCATTTTTGGAACACCTTAAGGTTTTGTATTTAGCTTCACAAAGTGTGACGGACAATTTTATATCAATGGCTGTTCAGAATTGGGTTTGTGAGTGCTGGGCCAGCCTATGCACAGTAGAGTACATATAAGCAGTGAAAACACTCATATACTCTGTACTCAAAACTGGACTTTTTTGATATATGGGTGTTTGTGTACGTGTGTCTGATTGTCCTCCAGACTGTCCCGCGCCCCCAAACATCACGATGATCGCTCTGGGTGTCTGTTTGTCTGTACTCACAATTGGCATCACACTACTGGTGGTCTGGAAGCTTCTCGTGTCCGTCCATGACCGAAAAGAGGTTGCCAAGTTTGAAGCAGAGAGAGCCAAAGCAAAATGGCAAACAGTAAGTTATTCATCGTTTTTGTCCCAGAGAGTTTTGGGCTGCTGATACTGAGTAACATACCTCTGAAGTTGTGTTATCATTCTGTAGGTTTGTTCTGTGTCTACATTGGATGTTTGTATGGGAAAAATTAATTGTATTTTGGAAATGGCAGCTATTGCACCCTGTGGTACACTAAAATGTTTCAATGCCAATACGGTTTGCAGCAGGTGTATTTTTCCTCTGAAAATCCCAGATCCGTGACTATCCGTATGGTCATCAAGTCATTAAAGAGCCAAAATATGAATATTTTACATGGAAGCTAACACTGATACACACTGAATGCACATTATAAAACTGGCAACCTCTGCAAAATTCCCCATGTAAACCAGCAAGCTGTGTCAAATGCGGTGGTTAAGTAGCTTTGGTAGTGGTAGCCTACAGTTTGAGTAGCTGGTGTTGTTATATAATAGTGTAAGACGTTTAGTTTAGTTATAGAAGTTTAAAAGCAATTTACCTGCAACTTCTTTTCAATGCGCAGCAGTGTTGGCTTGCTTGTAGCGTGTATGTAGCATTATTCATATTTGGATTGTTAAACAACCCCATACTTCAGAGATTCCAAAGACATTTGGGGAAAAATGTACACAGGACGAAATGTATCGAGTTTGGAACATTTCAGTTTACTACAGGATGAACATGATTATCAAAAATGACATTAACTTTTCTCAGAGGGAACCTGCTAAAACCCTGCTAGTTTCTAGTATGGACAAGATACTGACTACAGAATGATTACACAACGTCAGAGATGTACAGATTCCTTTGTAACTGGCAATATATGTTTGTTTATTACACATTATTGTGTTCATTATTTCTAAGCTGTTTATTTTGTATCATATTTCTCTTTACAGGGCACAAACCCTCTTTTCAGAAGTTCAACATCAACATTTAAGAATGTGGCATACAAAAATACAGGTCGACAGAAAGTTGATATATGTTGAAGAAGCGTTTGTCGAATTGATTTGATGTACAGAATGTAGACCACTGTTCATGGAATGTGTGTGTGTGTGTGTGTGTGTGTGTGTGTGTGTATGAGTGTGTACGTGAGAGACTTGACCTTTTCAGTGGTAGTTATTTTCAGTAATGTTTACATGTCATAAAATGCATTGGGAAATCTTTTATATTACACATTTGCTGCTAAACAGTTTTGAATATTCAAATACAGTCATACAGAATTATTGGCAACCTTCAGGACTGAAAAAGACAGAAGAGTGTCATTAGTGTATATAATATTATTGAGAAATCTTGTAATTTATTAATTTAACAACAGAATTCAGCAGATCTGGCCTAAAATTACAAACTTTTCCTGTTATAACTGTTTTAAAAAGTTTATATTGCTGTATGAGTCTACTTTGGTAATATTGTCCATATAGGGCATTTTATGATCTTTTCAATTTTTATGTTTGTACAGTGGATTGTTGTCTTTAAGCACAGGTCTTTGAAAGGCACAAGTAGAGAGGGTAAACTTTTTAAAAATGTTTTTAGGAAATTAAGCCTGTGTTAATGCATTCTTGTAGATTGTCAAACTTACAGCCAAATCTTAGCTTCCTGGTACTACTTGGAGTTCATTTCCTCATCTACCCCATTTTTCTTTTTTATATACTATTGAAACAGGAAGTAAAGTAAGGCCCTAATACAGCTCCTTACAACTGAGATGAACTGCTTTGGTTTTAGGAGTGCCAATCCTTTTGACACTTATAACAACATTTACAGCTCATTATATTGTTGTATTTTAATCAGGGATGCTGAAAATTCTGCATATGACTGTGACTAAATATATGCTACTGCAATTACTGAAAGTCTGAGCAACACTGGACATAATAGTTGTTTCATAGCATAGTTCCATTAGTTTTTATATTGTGTGATGTGTATTTTTCGTGGGTTTGTGAAACTAGACTCACTGAGGCTGAGCCTTGAGCTGTGATTTAATAACTTAACTTTTTAACGTTGAATAAAGTTTTTGCTGGGTCAAGCATACGTCTCCAGTTCACTTTTTCCATAAAGGGACTCTCCAGCCACAATTAAAAATGTAACCATCACTATATTTGTCGTAAACATGCCTGCTCACCTCCTACAGCGATGCCACAGTCGTTGCTGGAGTGAGATTTTACAGTTTAAAGACTAGGAAAACCCTCTTTTAATGATGTATTTTGAAGGTGGGAGGGGCTACAAGGAGAAACTACAAGGGCATTGAGGGCAGTCTGTTTCAAATATTATTTATTTATTTATTTATTAATCACCTGCTAGTTGGCTAATGAAAAAGGAAGCCAGAGCCAATACTGCTAGGACTGCTAGAATATCTCCTCTTTATTTGTTTTAACCTGTGCATAAGTGTATTAACATGGAGTGTGTAATGCATACTGGTTATTGTAGTGAGACACTGAGGAACAAAAATATAACAAATGATGTGAGAGCGTTACTGTCAAACCGACGAGGTTGAAGGATGTGACGTTTGATATTACATAACATGACGAATAACACATTTAATGCTAGTTTTAGGGCCGAATTCCACATTAAAAAGCTTCACTCTAGTTTAAATTAAGCGCAGCCCTGAAGCAGAAGTCCGAGCAATGCCAACATTCCTGTAGCGCAGCTATGAAAGCCATGGAAGGGGTCTCTCCAGCATTATTTTCGGGCCAGTGGCACATGATGCGAGTGGAACCCGCCCAGAACCGCTCTGTCGGAGGGAGCAGATATATTTTTGCTGCCCGGAGAGCTGCGTGACGTAGAAGAGCCAGAACTTGCGGAAAATTGCGAGAAAGGAAAAAAGAGAGAAGCCAGGCTGCAGTCGTCCGGAATGCGCTCTCTCTTCAGACGGCTGTGGAAATGCGAGGACCCCGTTTAAGTGTTCGCCAGCTGTCCGAGGGAGCGATTTTTGCCCTCTGTACGGCGCTGCTTATCAACTACGGCCATGCTGCTACAGAATATGAAGTTTTGGACAGAAGTCGTCTTGCCGAGCTGTACAGTAAGTTCGTTCTGCACAAAAAAGCACGACATACCTGACGACTTTTTTTACTTTCTTAATGTTTTTATAGTCGTCGTTGAGTAACGTAACGTATAGCCTAGCACACTAACCGTGAGTCAGTCAGACTCTTTAGCGAATCTGTTGTGGACTGAAGAAGACATTAGCATGTCCAGCGCACGGTCTACAGTCAGTCTGCTCGAGAAGTGTGTTAAAGTGACTCATTCCTCTCCAAGATAAGGTTTCTTCTGTTTTACTAGGCTTGTGTGGTGGCAAACAAACACCACGCGCCTCCCTCATCTCTGACTGAAACTTAACGTCGATAAAACTATGGACTGAGGGCGAGACACTTGTTTTTACAGAGTGATGTTGAAATACACAGCGAGAAAACCCTCGTCTATACACTGATAGGCCACAGCAGATCACATGATAGCCACATGGCAGATATGATCTCCTCAAAATGTGCATACAGTGCATTTCAGAGTCCTTTAGTGTAAAAAGCTTGTTTAAAAAGCTGTTATTGATGTCATTTGTCAGTAACAGCTGCTAATGTCATGGATGGAAACTGTGTGTAGTCTATGCTGATATATATTCGGGATATTTACCTTTTAAACTGCTAAACTCTTAAAAAAGATGATTCTCCAAGGGGTAGTAAAGGGAATGGTTCTGTTTAGAACCATGAGCTCTAAATACACACCTAAAAAGATTGTTATTTAAGAGTTCTTTATTAAAGACATTGGTTCTATATAGAACAATGAACACTCACAGAACCTTTTGCATGATCGAAGGGTTCTTTGAATTGATGGAGAATGTGCTGCAGATGGTTATATACAGCATCTTTTAAAAAGCGTTCTATATTGCACCAAAAAGGGTTCTTCCAGTGTTACAAACCTGCCGTCATAGCAATAACAATTTCATGCTTAAATGGTTCTTGGCATAGTGAAGCTGTTCTTCAGATTGATGCAGAATTTGTTGTATATGGTTCAGTATAGAACCAAAAAGGGTTGAGATCAAGCTTGACAACGTAACAATAGAAGAACCCTTTGTGGTGCCATATAGAACCATATACAACCCATTTTCCATCAATCTGAAGAACCATTTCACCATTCATAGAACCATTTACGCATGAAATAGAACTCATGGCTCTAAATAGAATCATTCCCTTTACTAAAGAACCCTTGTAGAACCATCTTTTTAAGAGTGTAGGCCTTGAAAGCCAGAAAACCACTCATCAGAGAACTTCCCCTTTATATGTGTCTCATCAAATTAAGTCCATGAGGCTGGACCGTGGTCTCTGCCCTCTGGACTGAAAGGCTTGGTGGGTATCTGGCCAGTAACTCGGCTGCTTTGGCTTTTTATGTGGTCTGCCCTCTCAAAGGGAGACCCAAAAAGGGCCAGCTGAGATTCAGGGGAATATGTGGATGGAGACAGATTCCCTCCCACACCCCACACAGACACGGCTTGTGTCACAGGTCCTGGCATGTTCCACTGAGCTTATGCGGTTTCAGTAATGTGCATGATTTCACTTCACATGAGTCAGCTGTTTACCAAGTCATCCAGAACCTCAAAACATAGCTTGGAGTTTCCTGAGAGCACTTTTTAGATGACCATGAAGCCAGTTTGTGTAGTTAAGGCACTGATTGCCCCCTGTTGATTTCCTAGAATGCTAAGAATGTTACTTAGTGCAGAGAGAGATAGAGAGACAGGCCTGAGGACGTCTCCTTATCTGGAGATCTTGTTAATACCACAGACTTCCATTGAAAGACAGCTCCATTGCAAAATCTTGTTTGGCAGCACTGCAAGGAGTGATACTTTAGTGAGTGAAAGCATCTTAAATGTAAGCTATATATCTAATGCTTCTTATTATATCAATCAATCAATCAACCTTTATTTAATCTCTGAGTACAATGGGGGAGACCCTCATTTACAATGTAGCCAAGCTAATACAGAAAACAGGGATTGAGAAATTGGAATGTACACACATATCAGATCCAAAAAATCATAATAATCATAATATTAAATTTGATAGTAAAAATAAATAAAAAATCAATAAACCATTAACAGTGCAACAGTATAACATCTTAATACACATTGAATAAGGATAAAATAAATAAAAAAAACTATAGATATAAATCAATGTGGCAATAATACAATATATAAAAAGAATAATAAAAGTGAAACAATAGCTAAAACTTACCAAAATTATATTGAAAAGTTGAATAAAATCAGGTAAAACAGTTGCAGGCTGTTTTGCTTGATTGTTAGACTGTTGTAAAAGTATTATAAGATCACTTAACCTTTTTCTAGACATGGGTGGGGAACTCCAGTCCTGGAGGGCCGGATTCCTGTGCACTTTGGTGATTTTCCTGCTCAAGCACACCTGATTCAACTCATGAGTTAATTACCAGGTTTACGTGGTGTGCTAGAGCAGGGAAATCACCAAACTGTGCTGGACTTTGACCCACAGGAACGCTTAACTATTCAATCTCTGTCTGCCACATCAGGAACATATGATTAATTATGACAATAACTTTCTTGTAGTTAGAAAAGAACAGAAAACCTATTGACTCAACCTATTTCAGCAGCTGCCAGGTGGCTTCTGTTATGAGTCAGCAGCTTTTCTATTCTTTAACTAAGTGCATAGAAATGCTTCAGATGTACTACCTGTGGTAATTGCTAAGTAATATGATGTAAATGATAAAAAGTCATTTTATCAAGTTATAGGAGATTGAAATATTACTGCACTGGCAGATTGCTTGATTCAAGAAATAATGCCTGGATAAAGTTAAAAATCAGTTTATGTAAATAACCGTATTATAATTTTGTGTATAATAGTCTTACAACAACATCATAATAAGAAGTAATAGTAAGGATTGGGGGTGGGCAATATAGTAACAATGTACGTCATTTTCATGAGTTTGCATTGCAGTATTTTTTCTGATTTGTTTTAGTAAATAAACTGGAACAGAAGAAAAAAAGTAGTGAATTGTATTAAATTTCACATACTATAATATTTTATATTTCATGTAGGTTATTTTATATTATTAATATTTTAGCGTGTTTTATTTTGTCTTGACTCAGTAATGCTACTTCTCTCAGTTTTAACAAATAACATGTATAGTGCAACTTTAAGTACTAATAATATCCACAATATGTGCTGGAAACCATATTGTGATGTATTTTATGACAATAACGATAAATATCATATTGCTCACCCCTAATAAGGAGGCACCGATATGGGGATTATGAGCCAATGCTGATATCTGATATTTTTCATGTACAAGTCTGATGCTGATGCATAATCATTTATAAAATGTGGAAATTGGGATTAAAACCACCTGGATTAGCACTACATAGAAATATAATATTTAGTTATATAAGGTTACAAATACAGGAAAATTAATAAAATGCAGTCAATTTAGCACA